CACCAGTCGCTGCACAAATCAAGATATCATTCACCAATTCATTACTTTTCTTCGCTGGTCTTCTCCTTCATTGTTCTATCTCTCGATTCTCGACGCAAGTCCGCAAGCGTTAGCAGGCTGCTACTGGCATTAGTGGGGACAAACCGTCGCTTTTGAAAATTCTTCTCTCTGAATTTCATGCCCGGATGGCGCTTAATTATTTCCCTCGTTCACACGTCTAAGTGTTAAATAAATGTATGTATTTATGGGTGCGGATAGTATAACAACACTCTTTATGTTGTTATAATAACAACAAGTTTCATTAAGGGCAAAACCGTAAACATACTAAGAAGTAATAAAATTAAAATAAATCATAAAGATGATGCGCTCCCAAAATCCTTCCCCGTTCTCTCAAACGTCAAACCCTAAAGTACTGTTTGCCTCTACGCAGCCGCCGTAACCATGCCGCCGAAGTTCGATCTGTCTCAGTTGGTGGACGTCTTTCTCCGCATGACCGACGGTGAGGTCGAAGCAGCTTCCTTCCTTGTTCCCAAGATCGGTCCGACAAGTGACTAATCAATTAGGGAATGGGGCTTGCGATTTTGTCGATAGAACTGGAACTCGTTTGGAACTTCGGACGTACGATGCAATGAAGGAGGTAATGGAGAAAGTTGTTCCGATGAAGTCGTGGGATGCAGTGATAGTTAGGGGTGGGAAACGGTGCGGTTGCGGTTAACTGCACCGCAATTTGCGGTTAACTGCAACCGCAAAGTGCCCATATTAGCCAACCGCAACCGCACCTGCTACGGTTAGCGGTTAACTGCTAACCGCAAAATGCGGTTAACGGTGCACCGCGGTTAATGGCATCACTAACCGAGTTAACCGCTGGAATGGTCGCGCCGTCGATGTCGACGAGCAGAGCAGATGTGGAGAGGACGGCGGCGTGCTCTACGCCTCTGATCGAGCAGGGACGGCGACGAAGGCAGGTTCTGGACTAGAAGGGACAATGGCGGAGGAATTTCCGGACGCCGAGTCTGGGTTCTGCTCTGGAATGGTCGCGGCATCGTAGTTGCACTGGCTCTGAATCCCAGGTCACGTCGTCGCGGTTGCATGGGACTAGGGTTTCCTTTCTTTTCGATTTGGGAAAGTGGCTGAAGAAAGAATTCGCACGCTGAGGACTGGGGAAACGAGAACTGCGGTGGAAGGGGGTGGGTCGACAGTGGGCTAGTGGGCCTAGGGTGGGGTTTGTTGGATGGATTGGTCTGGAAAATGAAGTGGTGGGATGGCCTGCGGTTAGTAGTGCGGTTAGGTGCATCTGCGGTTTCGGTTGCGGTTAAACCGCAAACCGCAAAAGACTCATTCTCCCCAACCGCGACCGCAGAAAAGGTTGTTTTTGCGGTTTGCGGTTAACCATTAACCGCGCGGTTTCGGTGTGGTTTGTGGTTTAACCGCACAACCGTAACCGAATTCCCAGCCCTAGTGATAGTGGTGTCGGAGGAGGCTGTAAAGTGTGACGATGGGATTGCAGGTACAACGGGAGAGATGGAGAGCTCTTTGGAACATGGGAAGCAGAGGGTGCCAATGGTGATTGACGGTCTGATTTGTTAATTGCGACAAGGGGTGAAGGAAAAGTTCTGTCGGTGGAGTCGCGAGAGGCGGTGGTAGCACCACCTCTTCCTTCCTCGCGTTCGTAACCGCTGCCGTTCAACATTTTTTCTTCTTTTTTTTATAAAGCTGCCGCTCAACATTATTTCCAAAGGGGAAAAAAGAAATGAAAGAAAGAGACAGTATCAGTATGTACCAATATGTGTATAGATTTGCTCCCATTTTATTTCTATAAGAAACGTTCTAGGGGAAATGATTCATTCCCATGCATTTTGGATTTGTCATTTTATAGTGTAATTTCTCGTATTGGTTCTGAGGGTTGGAGAAAACAAACCATAGTAAATGAAGTATTTTGATGTACAATGAAGTATTTTGAACGAAATGTTTAGTCGTGGTTGATATGAGTTTGGCCGCGGATACTATAACACAAATATTTTTAAAACATAGAAGAAATCTCTTAATGAATACCACAAACACTATAAAATAAACCACAAAAAGCATACAACAAATTTCCTAATGCAAACCACAAATCTCCTAAAACATATCAGAAATATCACAAAGCAAACCACAAATATTTCTAAAGCACACCAAAAATATTCTAATGCAAACCACAAACACGATAAAGCAACCTACAAAAAGCATACCAAAAACCTCCTAATGCAAACCACACGTCTCCTGAAACATACTAGAAACCCCACGAAGCAAACCACAGAATTTCAAAAGCACACCAAATCTCATAATCCAAACCACGAACACCGTAAAACAAACCACAAAACCAAACCAGAAACCTTCTAATGCAGACTACAAATCTATTAAAACATACCAGAAACTCCACAAAACAAACCAAAAATATTTCGAAAGAATACCAGAAACCTCTTAATGCAAACCACAAACATTATAAAGCAAACCACAAACACGATAAAGCAAACCACAAAAAAAAAACTAAAAACATGAGAAAGCAAACTAAAAAAAAATATATGAGAAACACGAGAAATCAAACCATAAAAACACACAATTAACACGAGAAAGTACATTATAAATCTATAATGCAAACCACAAAATCCGGCGACTAGTGATCGTTGACTGGACTCCCACGAGCAGTGATCATTATATAATAATTCGCTACATTTTCATGTGTGTCGCAACATTGCTGTCAGATATGAGAAAGTTCTTTTAAAAAAAATTTGTATTTCGACTAAACGACGAGGCTCAAGACTAATTTATAAATTTATATAAATCGGATCACATTCATTCATAAGATAAGAAGATCCTATTTATTAATTTCCAAATTTATTTATTCTTTCCTTTTTATGGAAAGTAATCTTCCAAATAGAACAAAAATCCTACTTGTTTTTTTTTCCCAAAAGCTAGCGCTTCTCTAACATTAGGCAGCCAATAATTATTAGTAATAACAATAGAATAATTAGTTAATTAAATGGGCTTTGGCAGATAAGTGCAGGTCACGCGCCCTACTCTAAGAAAGCACGCTCAATACAAGCGGGCGGCATGGGTAGAAAAAAAATGTAGTGACCATTATGCCCTTCCTTCAATTTTTAGCCTGCAGAAATTCAGTCAACTCATGAAACTAAAAAGTATGCAAAAGGATCGCTTCTCATTGACTGCCTTATATTGTTATCACCATAACAACAAATATGGTGTTGTTATCGTATCTGGTCTCTGTATTTATATATATAGCAATCCCAAACAGGTGATGTTCGTTGAAGTCGTCGGCGGAGGAAATTTTGAGCAGAGCAGAACTAATCCATCACGCAAGGACTCATTCCAGTTCTGTTTAATCCGGCACTTTCCTCCATTTTTGAACGGAATTTGGTACGGCCTCATGTATGCTTTCTTGCCGATCCGTTCTCCGGGATCCACGTTAGGATCATGCCTGTCATCTACAGGCGTTCGCCGGCGGCAACATCGAAGCTTCTTGCTCGTCGTCGGCTCCAACATTGAAAAGGGATGGTTGTACAAGGGGTGTATGGTCAGAGAAACCAAGAAGTTTGTTCTCAGTTTTCGGAGTCGATGTCGCCTGTCACACTGAGATGCGGCCGTCGCCGGTCCAATTGAAAATTGATCTTCACTTCAGTTTTGGTGAGCTCGGCACTGTTTGTTGTGATGGGAAGAAATCAGAATTTGCTGAATGAGTTACTATTAGGTCCTTAATTGCAATTACCAGTAACTATAAATTCTTTTAATAAATATTGTATTCTTTATTAGTTATTAATAAATTAGAAATATATTAATTATTCTCAACCGTTGGATATATTGAAGGGTCAAAATTAAACCAGAAAGTGAGTGCGTTCAGTGCACCCAAAAAAATGAGTGCACCGAAGTAGTCATCATATATATATATATATATTTGCATTCATGCATTGGCTTAACCTAGAACGTACTAAAAGATTTTTTTCATGTATGTTTAATAAACTGACATCAATCTTTAATTAGGTAGTAAAAAGATTAGATCTTGGACAGTTCTTTTTACTAATATCCTCCCAACGAGTTTCCTTTTGATGTAATAGTCTTTATAATTTACATTCAACTTTTGCTTGTAAGCGGAAACTGTTAGGGAGAAAAGAGCAAAATTAAAATTATTTGCAAAGGCTATTGTACGTATAATATAATTAAGCACGCTTTGCAGACCAAGTAATGGCATTAGCATATTGATGAGGACACAAGTTAGGACTTAGGGTTGTAGTAGGAAGCGAAAGTATATATACTTTGTATAGCTTGAGAATTGTATGATGGTGACCAGTGATTAGTGAATAAGAAAATACAGGTCTTGTATCATGGACTCTCAACAATGATAGCTGAGGATATCACGAAAATTTGGCTTTGTTAATTTCAAACCTTATGCTTGATCGTGATGAATAAGAACAACGAGCCGGTAACTTTTTTGAAACATACAATTCGTGGTCACGTGATATGAAAGGCACATTAATTCGTATTAACTTTCTTGCAAATCCTTTATTTTATTTGTCGTTAAATAATAAGAAATTAATTGTAGTTGCTTGTACGTATCTAGGAGCCTAATATGATTGAAGGAATTTAAGAGCAATGAAAATATTATTGTAGTTATTGTCTTCAAGAGACTCAACCAAAAGATAGCTTAAATTAATCAAATTCGTAAAATTGGGTTACTAAATTACTACTATGTATACATCAAAACGTTCATCTTCACTTTCGCATATGTCTCCTCACGTTTTGATTTTTTTTATATATATATTTTTTTTCTGGTGAAACACGTTTTGATTTCTAATTATCTGAATAAAACAATTAAATTTATTATTTCGTATGATAAATGTATTTCGTTGCTGATAAAATAATAAAATATACGGGTGACACTTGACAGTGATATTTGACGAGGGTTTTCTCATTGCCCTATAATTTTCCAATGGGCCCTAGGACCAAAAGCTCAGAGAGAACTCTAGACTTGGTTCCAGTGGAAGATGGGCCGGGCCTAGCCGGGGGATAAAAAGGTTATTCTCTGAAACCCGATAACTGAAAAGGAAAGGCACCAAATTCCTTCGACGCAGTTGAATAATTTTGAAACAACGCTAATCTCTTCAGTATTTCACCGCCGCGCCACTACGACCACCGCCAACACCAGCACGGCGGGGAGAGAGAACAAAACGGGAGAAGGAAGAAATCCTTAATAAAAGACAAAACCAGAAGCTCTCCGGCGGCTTCTTCCAACTATGATAAAACCCTAAAGTTAGAATAAAAACCGCCCCCTCTGTCGCTGGAAGAACCATTCGTTTCCCAGGCTTTCCTCAATGGACCAACAACGTATCTTTGCTTCTTCCCCCTGTTTCTGATTCCTTCTCCCGCCGTGTTGACAAGCGTGTTCTCCATTGTCAGGTTTCTTCTGGTTATGTTTCTTTCCTTGTTCGAACTTGCTCGTACCTTATCTTTAGCCGGTAGTGTTCAGTTTGTCAGTTGGTGGCGCCTTTCAATTTGCGTGTTCATGTGCGGTTAGGGTTTTTCTTTGCGTTCCTGTATTATCTTCATGGAAGTTGCGTGGCATTGAGAAGGAATTCCATGCTCTGGAACTATGTAGTCTTAAGTTAATCGTAGATGGAATTCGCTACCAAGTAATTGCTTCCTTACCAATTTAGTGGATTTCAAAGTTGAGATAGGCACTGTACGTATATAGAGTTGACAAGTTGTCCTCTTACTGCCTAAAAGCTTAAAGCTTTTTCGAGTTGTTTTTTTTTTGCTTGTTTTTGTGATGAATGTGACTAGTGGGCGTTCTGCTTCAACGCATATAGAATCGAGCAGAATTAGTGGTTAATCATGAAGCGCAATACTGCAACCATTTAGGACAGAGTAGATAAGGGGTATTATTTGCTGTTGTTATTGCTGTAATGCAAACCCCTTGCTGAGGGCTGAGATGTACTATGGCATTTCCCCCTTTTGACTATCTTGGCATTTCACTGAATTTGTTGCCATTAATGTTTTACGCTGGATAGCTTTGAGTTTACCATGTAACGTCATGGTTTTGCCTTGGTTTATGCTTACGTTTATGTCTCTGAGAGTTGTTTCCTTGCTTGTAGGCAGCTTCCTTTGTATCATTAATTGAAAGAGAAGATGGGCAGCTCATTTAATTCCCAGATTTTAGTGGAGAAGCTCGCCAAGCTCAATAATTCTCAAGCAAGCATAGAGAGTATCCTCCTCTGTGCAAAGATTTGATGCTATCATTTTCCAATTACTGCCAGTTTCTGCTAGCAAAATTTACTAAACCTTGGTTTTCTAAATCAATGACTTGAGTTTTTCAAGACATATGTATGTCATTCAAAGCTTTAATTGTGGAAGTGGAAGGTGTATACCTGTGCAAAGAGACTACACATGGATGCCATTTAAATCAAGTTATATCAAATGTGATTTTATGGCTGTCTGGGAAACTTCTGTGATTGAAATATTATGTCATGTTGCTGTTCATGATATTTCTTCCTTCTGTCTCTGGCATCTTTCATGAATATATAGATTTCATCTCTTCTCATTCATGATGCATTTAGTGTCAGACCCCCTGACTTGTGTCTTTCATCCTGTGTATGCTTTATCAGACTCTCAGACTCGTGTCTTTCGTCCTCTATGTGCTTTGTCATCCTCTGTTTGTATTGTATTTCCCCTTTGTTGTGTGTCCTTAATCTGATCTTAGCTTTATCCCATTGGTGCATATTTCACATGCATAAAGCAAAACATGTCGTTGAAACATGGGCTAGACAATTCCATTCTGCTCCACGTGAGCAGCGAGTAGCTTTTCTGTATCTTGCAAATGATATACTACAAAATAGTCGTCGAAAGGGCTCAGAGTTTGTTGGCGAATTCTGGAAGGTTCTTCCAGAAGCTCTTCGTGATACAATAGATCATGGCGATGAGTTTGGAAGAAATGCTGCAATGCGATTGGTACTCACAGCTTCCTCTCGCCTTTTATATACTCCCCTTCATTCTCGTTCTATCATGTCAATGTTTTTGGTTTCATCATGTCAAAAGCTTACCTGAAGAGCACAGGTGTAAAATTAGCGTGGTAAGATTTTAGGGGGGAAATTAGTGATGTCTGTTGAAGGGAATCAATAACTAGGTTTGGTATTAAATCGTGCTATCTACCAACCATTTGTGATAAGATAGCCTTAGTTGGCAACTTATAGGAAGTGGCAGTAATGCTTCTCTGTAACCTGATGAAATGTGCATGTGCCATGGGTTATGCAGAAGTCTTATACTGAAGAACGATTTTAGTTCTTGGTGTTTCTGTATTTCTTGAACCTACCAACTACCTAAGAAATGTTCATTTTTCCACTTGGGAAGTCACTCTTTCCAAACTGGCATGGATAGAATAAAAGGATCGAACTAGAAGACATAGAATTGAAGTTTTATTTTGAAGATGCAAAGTTTGCTACAGCAATATTTGTTTGCTGCTTTGGATCACCTTCTAAAGCTCCTTACTGTCTCGCACTCTGCGTGCAGATTGGAATTTGGGAAGAACGTAAAGTTTTTGGTTCTAGGGGACAAGTTTTGAAGGAAGAGCTTCTTGGAAGACAGCTGGAAAGTATTCGTAGGAATGGAAAAAGTCTCGATTTAAGTTTCAAACCAGTAAGTTGGAACTCTACATTCAAAGCATAGACTGTTCTTTTTGGTTTTATATTTGTAAAATGGAAGATGGCAGCTGAGTTTTGCTTCATTGAAAACAGAATCAGCCCATTGAAAGAGCACTGGACAAGTTAGTTTCAGGTTACCAAGCTGTTTACAGTGGCCACGATGAAGATGCCGTACTTGGGAAATGTAGTAGTTCAGTCGCTTATTTTGAGAAAGTTGAGAAGGAAGTTGGTGACAGTAACTCAGGTATATCTTTTTCCATTGTTCCTTTTTTTGTTGCTTCTGCTGGAATTCCAGTTTGCTGAGCATTATGTTACATTGACAGGTCAATTAGCTGGATCTGCACTTATGGAGGACGTGCAGGGCCAGTATGCTGCTCTGCGGGATAGCATGAAGCAATTGGTGGCCATCGAATCATCCAGAGGAAGTCTCGTGTCTCATCTTAGAGAGGCACTGCAAGAGCAGGTTAGTGGGATTAGCTATTTGTGCCAAATAAAAGAAAAAGCTTAAATTTTAATGGGGGTACTAAACGACCTGATATTTTTAATAGGAAACAAAGCTTGAAAACGTTCGGCATCAACTTCAGGTATGGCAATCTAGATCCTCACTTACCTTCAAAAGCAATATTCTATATCTGGAGTTTGTATAGTTTTATGTACATATTTGTCTGCATAAAACCATGGTAACTAAACACTTGAAATGGGTTTCCCATTTTCTGTCCGCAACTTAGAAAATTAACTTCATCAATACATTTGTGTGAACAAGTAGTAAACCAGGATTGGTGGTAAGCTTTGAACTTTGAAGGGTGCACTACACTTCAGTTAACAACCATAATCGCATTGCTCGGTCCTGTGGACGTGTTTAGAACTCTGTGTATTGCTTTCTAAACTTGCATCGATCAACAGGTGTAAAATATGATCAAAATACAGGTCATTGCCCTGTTTAACTTACAATTTATTGATTTTTTTGTATGGATGGGTTTTCACTTTTGCAGGTAGCACGATCCCTATCAGACAATGCTGAGAAGTTAAATCAGCAGCTGCTCCATTCTTCGAGCAACTCACAATTAGTCTCCGAGCAGAACTCAAAAGAAGCCAGTAGTAACTCTGTTGCAGCATCCCAAACCTTTGCCTCTGGAGACAGAGAACAAAGTGCTCCATCAATGTACACCACAATGCAGTCCAACACCACCCCAGAGGACCCTAGAAAATCAGCTGCAGCTGCCATGGCTGCGAAACTAACCGCATCAACATCCTCGGCTCAAATGCTGTCATACGTTCTCTCCTCCTTGGCATCTGAGGGCGTCATTGGCACACAGCCCGAGAAGAGAGCTAGGCTTGATAACAATGAGCCTTACATACCAGCGTCGCAGAATCCTCAACAGCCTCCTTACCAGCCTGCTGCTGACATCACCACCACTGCTCAGCAGTCAGTGCCCCCAAACAATCCTCCACTGCCTTCGTCCCCACCGCCGATGACGCCACTCCCACCGCCAACTTACTCGATGCCGCCACCTCCCTACATACCGATCAACGGTGGAGGCCCTTATGGTTATGGACAGCCGCCGCCCCCTTCTCTACCTGGGTTTCCACCAGTTGGTGGTGGTGCTCCGTTGACTGGGATGCCACCACCACCATTTGGAATGCTGCCACCGAATTCGTACCAGTATCAGGGGTCTGAAGGGAATCGATACGGGCAACAACAGTCGTCAATCCCCATGGGGCCTGTTTCAAGGCAGTAGAGGTAAAAACAAGCACTGTAGCTGTGAGAATTTGAGTTCTTTCCATCCCTCTCTGTGAACCCTGTGTTGAGAAGTATTTGTACTTGTGTAACATGTGGTTTTAGCTAGCAGCTAGAGTACTTTGCACATAGTAATTGGTTGTGTACTTATACTGATAGATGTCCCTATAGCTTGTATACTATATACTGGTTCTTCTTTGGGTTTGCTGCTGCCACTGAGAATTTCAATTCTTATTAGGTGTATTTTTCTTTTTTTCCCCAGACTTAGATTAGTTTACTGTTTTTCACCCCTGTTTTCAGGTGGATTTTGAATGATGATTACATTAGACATATGTTCAGTTTGTTTGCTGCTAATGTATGAATGAGAAGATGTAATATTAGACTGATGATGTGGTTAATTGGTTTGTCTAGTGGTAATGGGTGGGTGACGCATGGAAACAGAACAAGAGAGTCATAAGCAGTCTGAGGTAACAGAACAAGAGAGAGCATAAGTAGCAAGACATGGTAACCAGTTGTTTTGGTCTTTATGGTTCGTTTAACTCAAACTAGAATGGGAAGAGAAGTAAAGGAATTGGAGCAGTGGGTCTGACCACATGCTGTCGGGTTTGCTATTTGACCCCTTCTGTCTGACCGACCCGACCCATTCCACTCAAAGCTGCTCCTAGGTCCTAGCCAAAAGCAGGCAGGGCGACGACAGTATTAAGCTAGTACTGCTTAGCTTCACTCCCTTCACTTTCTCATTTCCCTTTGATGCAGAAAAGAGGAATACTTTTTAACTCAATACATGTTATTCGATTGCAGTATATGGTTTTTATTTGAGAAGACTAAAAATAACTGATGTAATACTTAAGTTTTTTTAGGATGTTAAATATAGGGATGAACTGATTCATTATCTCATATCAAATATTTATAATGAACAAGAATTTATGTGTTGAATTCCTAATGATATCTAATCCTTTCTAGCTATTGATCTTAAATATCAAATGTGAGAAATTTGCTGAATCTTTTCAATTTAATGTATGACAGGAACGAACAAGGGATTGGTCTAGTGGTAATACTACTAGCCTTGAACCTGGAGGTCTCAGGTTCGAATCCCTTCAGTAGTACCTAATTACAAAAAATAACCTATATCACCCTTATCTAAAAAAAAATTTAATGTATGACAGGAGGTATAAAAAGATTAATATAATTATTTACTCTAACTAAATTCAATCAAAAGCCTAGATTTCTTTTTAGGCTGATGGAGGCATGCATGGGAATTTTCCAATGGTTTTTTGGGATTGTGATTTTATTTAACTTAAAAGTAATAATTATTGTTTTGACAACATGCGGTTAAATTTGCTTTATAATGATAAGTTTTATGAGTTTTATTTTTGGGTGTTGGGGACAAGCGAAAGTAGTTAAGGAAACAACATCTTAAAATATATTAAAGCACTTTCATTTTAAAGCCACTGCCACGTACCCCTTCCTGTAATTAGAAGCTATCCACGTCAGCCTCTAAAATACCCGGTGGAAAACCCCTGTTTACTTCGTCGCCTCCGCCGAATCCCCTCTCCATGTAACGGTAATCGCCTTCCCTGTAAATGTCCCTCCTTTGACAGATTCGTTATAACTTCCCTTCTTTTCGCCGCAATCGCATGCCCCGTCGCCCTCTCTCATCATGCGTTGCCGGTCTTCCGCCATCCGCACCGCTGCTCTCGCCCTTTCGGCAAACCGCCTGCCCTGTATTGATTTTCACAACTTAATCTGCAAATATCCCCTACTTCTTTGATCACGACAGACTCCCTAGCAGCCTGGCACAAGTGTTCATTCGTTACCTCCCATATTTTTATCTCTTTGGGTTTTGGTTGTTCCCTGGCTACTTGGGTAGCGTTCTGATTCTGTAATTTCTCGACACACCAGCGTGCCAGGCATTTTTTTGTTACAGGTAACAACAATGATTGCTTTTGTGGTTGGACAAACTTGGCTCCAATTTCCTCTCATGTTTTTGTTCTGTCTGGGTTGTCTGGTAACTACTGGCCAGTTGGGTACTTCCGACCAGGAAGGCGTGGTGGGGGGTTGTACGTTAAGGGAAAACGGATGGAACTGCTTAGTTGGCAGCATAAGTTAGTGTTGCCAAAGCAACCAAAGAGTTGGTTCTACTGTATCAATTCCAGTAGAGATATTCCCTCCCCAATCTCATTGAGGGTTCCCCATGGTAAGTTGTGCTCTCCTCTTTGAATTGATCTACCATATAAGTTTACTTCATCGCCAATCTCTTCTACGTTGTTAGTTATTCACATACTTCCTTTCCCTTCCTTTTGCCAATGAATCCCAAGTTGCTCATAATTCAATTACTCAACTATCATATTGTGCATGTTTCTCACTTAATAGGATGTAATTTTCCATATATACCGTCTGTCAAAGAGCAAGCTGGCTGAGTAGTTGTGTATATAACCTTCTAATCTTCTCCTTTTAATTGCCAGCATCATATCAGACCCAATCAATTGATTGTAGATGCATTAGGATCTCATAAAATGGCCTGCTCTACACAAGTTTTTTCAACAACTCTATTCAAATTATGTTGTCATTGCATCAATATATGGAACCTGAAATACGCAACAATTGGAAGAAAAGTGCTTAAGCTACCTTTCCAGGAAAACCAATCTCACTTCTTAGATGTTTGAAGAAGCCCAGTAGCAGAATTTTATTATTAGCCATTTGCAATTATCATTAGGAAGCAGTAGTATATACTATACAGCCTCTGCTCAGGCAAGAGTAGTTCAGGCGACATCTTGATTTTTTCCCGCCAGACTCTTTACACCTAGAGTGATTACCACTCTACAAACTATGGTCTATTGGAGGTTCGGTGGAATCCGACAAATATGTTTTAGAATGTTCTTTACTCTCACTTGCTACGTGGGCTTTCTGTGTCATGGTTGCGTGTTTTCTGCATAATGTCAGAGTTGCATTTGGTGTTTAATTTCCAATGAATTATCCTATTACATTTTCTCCTGAATTAATGTAATCGCTTTTCTCCGTACTTGGAAAGCACACAAGGGCACCCTCCACAAACATAATGCGGACCTTGCTCCTTGCCTAAAATTCCTTCTATTTGTTCTGTAATCTAACTTATGAGTCTATCAGCAAATTTTTAAGAAAAGCCATGCTTGCAGTTCCCTTCATTTGTTTAGAGGAATTCCTTTCGTTTGATGTTTCGCGTTAAACTACATTACTCATATACATTATGTATTTATCTGCTGTTATTAGGCTGAGAACGTGGATTCGCTAACATAACAAGGTTCTGAAACCAAACTCTTCGAAATGTTATTATGGTGCATACTACAACCAGTGTGAAAGTTGCAGAAATAAAACTTGCTATTAGCATTCGCAAATTGCATTAGCAATGCTAACTTATGTACCAAAACGACACCTCCAATTAAAGCCGTGGCCGCATCAAGCTCCAAAGGGAATTACGATTTTTTTTTTAGGAAGGGAATTCCGAAACTTTGTTTCTCATTGATGTTGAAAACAATGATAAAAACAGGTCGAAAACATGACGGAACAGGATGAGGCATAGCGAAAGTAGTACAAATGTCTTGCCCCACGCTATTGTGGTATGATAATTCCCACTCCAAAGAAGTCGAAGTAGATAGATCGCATGAATAGGGTCAGAATCTACTATCACTGCATATTCTGTGGCAATGAAAGTGAAATCAAACATGTCGCAAAAATCATAGGCGATAAAACAGAATGTTACCCCGGCCAAAGGCCGGGCACAACGCTAGTTAGTTTATATAAGAAAAACCCACCAATATTTACTTTCAGTTTCAGACATGTTTTGTCCTGTCTGTCTCAGTACACTTTTATTTTACCTTTTTTGGTGGGTAAAAAATTATTTGTCTCTTTGCATTACGTTTTCACTTTCACTTCACCAGGCCCGCATGCAAGCCATCTAGATTCTGTGGTTTTTACCTTTTTTACTTTAACTAGGATTATGCATGCAGTCAAATGTAGCTTTACATGATGCGTATATGTCTCTACTTCTCTCTTTTTGACTCCTTCCTTTTTCAATAAATATGGCAAATTGCATTTGTAAACTTATAGACAATTTTCGGTATATATAAAAAAGGTTCCGAGTAGTACCATGTTGGAAGGGAAGTGTCTTGTTATAAAAATGAGGATCCTCTATTTGAGCTAGCTTTTATAGCACAAAAGACTACTCAAACACCCGATGTATAACATTTATATAAACTTGAAGAGAATTGTTTATCAAAATACCAATGAGCAAAGGGTTGATAGGTAGCCAACCGTACGTGGGATGGATGTGTCACGGGGTACGTAGAGAGTTGGTTTTGTGTCAAATGTTCAAGATACTAATTGCATACAATCTCGCAATACTTCTTACGAGGTTCTCGAAATTTATGTACTTTTATCTGACGTTCCTAATAGAATCTCTCAAAAGTTTTATCTGATATCCAACGCATGAACAAAATAATGAGTTCATTTATCTCTATCTAATTAAGGATGGTTATTCTACCTACCACGCTCTCTTTGACCAAGTAAACAAAACAAAACAAAAAACAAAATAGAAAACACATGTACTTGCATGATGCACTAATTCGAGGTGTTAATTGGCTAGTATACGAGCACGAGAAACAAGTTCAACTATATCAAATAGAGTACATATTACAAAACGATCAAAAAATTTATATAGACTCTCATAACTCTTGATTGCCGAGAAATATGAAGAAATTATATAACAAACCAAATAATCCCATAACCAAAAGCTAAAATCTCACTATGATTTTCCATTAAAGGCAGGGGAGATAAATGGCGAAAGGAGACAGACATTCTCCGAACACAAAGAGGGACAAAATCACCGTCAGATACCAATTCCCCATATCCTTTGTCTCCCTCCCTTGTAATTACTTGATTAATTAATGATCCAACACCTTAATCAATTGTCATTGCATCTAAGTTTTGAAGTAATCAATTAATAACTAACCGACTCCTTTACGTGCATGGTTCCTCAAAGAACACTTACCCACGCAATTATTATAATAATCAAAGGTATATACTGTTAGAGAGTGGTATAAGATCCAGCAGAACCTTCTCCCAAAAACTCGAGTTATTGGGATCAACTGGTTCCTAACATATACTATATTCAAGGTTATACATGCCTATGGGGAATATGCATGATTTTAGTTTAAGAGTTTTTACGAACTAGTTTTATTTGATGACTCTGAAAATTAACATATATGTTCCACTAGATTAGTTAATTGAGACATCAAACTCGTATGAAAAATATATTAAATTTGAGTCTCGTGAACCGCTATCCAACATTCTATTTATTAATCGTTAAGAAGGGCATTGTTATATGTTAATGGGAAGCAATGTAAAGGCCAAAAACAAGGTATAATACAGGCAGCTTCTAGTGATTATGATCAATCGATCTTGATCTCCCCACCACACCGGCCAATTGGTTTGCCGTCACCCATCATCGCCTAGATTCTATGTATATTACTACTTTTGATATATTAAGCATTTTTCAAATTAAGTGACCCAATCCAAATTAAGAGATCAAATAGGAATTGGGATCTGAATTTCCATAAGAAGCTAAAAAAACAAATATGGATTAATCATCATTGATTAATAACAATAATTTAGGACTAGGAGAAGAGGGGGAGACACAACACATGCAAATGCAAATGCAAATGCAAGGGTAATCGTGAGCACACCCCAGAGTACTAATAATCCGCCACTTTGTCTCTTCCTTTTTGCGGCTACGTGTTATTGCCATAATTCCTTGTGGGGGTGCCTGTATGATCCTCGTCATCAAAATTGAGGTGGATATGGTCATCAAACTTTAGGATTTTCATAAATCAGAGATTAAAACAAGAACATAGAAATCGAGATTATGGAAAAGTCAAATTCATATCTGCATTTATTCGTTCGATTGGATCTCATCATCAGAGTCTATGTCATTCATTGTCAGTAGTTGTCATTATCTTGAGTTTGATTGAGCTGTCAGATCTCATACTTACTTAATAATCTTCATTTAAATCGAACTACAAATTCTTATAATTGTTTCGTCTTTCACCTATATTCGCTTGCTTTTGTTAATTCATATGCATGTCCCTTTAGATTTTCTTAACCGGCTTTATTGCCCATGTCCATTTGTAGCCCTAGCTAATACACATCAAATTTTTGCTATAAGAAGTTAAGACTTGGATTATTATTGCTTTTGATCCCACAACTTACTAATTTTTCCTACTTGGCCTCTTAAGTCTAGTGAAACTCTCACATTTTTTTCTTTTTGTCACCTCAAATAAGCCATGTTCCCGAGTTGGGGAGCCCGAAACGAACTCACCCTATCTAGCTTCATTTCTCATTCCAGGCCCAAGTTAATTCCTTCATTGTCTCCTCGATAGCATATCGTCTTTTTGGCTGAAAAGGATCGTCATTCTTCAAGCGATATGATTAACCAGTTCGATTCCACTAAAAAGTTAGGTTTAAATTGAAAAATGAAATGATTTTCTATAAAGAATATCAAAATGGAAAAGGTGTAACTAATGTTCATATTCTAAACTACTTTTATCTTAGTCACCGATCTTTACCCTCGGTGCTAATACTAAATCCTGGTTTTATTCAAGAAGTAATATATAACATTCGAAAGAAAAGAGAAATATTGCCCTAAGGAAAAGCTTTGAGCAAGGCCGACAAGAAGGACGGAGGCAGCCGTTCTATAAGTTAACCAAACACCTTCCTCCCATTCTGATAAAGCCTGTCATTCTTGTCCCTCCCTCCCTCTACTTTCTAACACCAATATCCCATTTCTTCCGAGGGTCTCTCTCTTTTACAAGCCTTGACCTTGTCCATTGAAAGCTTTTATCAGTCAAAGTTATGGTTGGTTGATCGGTAAGAGGGAAAGGAAAAGGAGTGAGGCTGAGAGCACAACACAACAGAACAGAACAGAGAGATCATGTTACTGAACTTGGCTTTGCTTTTAGGCCTCCCTGCCCTGCCTTTGGCTTTAACTTCAGCATGCGTTGGTCAGCTGACGACATGCACACACACACACACATAGTATAAGTTTAAGACCACCATCTCATCTCATCTCATGAAAGTTCCATTAATTATTACACCACTTTTAGAGACAAAAGTTCCAACCTCTTTCCCGGCGAGGGCCAAAAAGGAAAAGCAAGCACCCAACAACTAACAGTAATAACGAGTTTGTAGCATTATAATAACAATAATGATAATGGTCATCCTCCCATAACCACCACCATTTGTTACACTAACATAATAACCAAGTAGATTCATTTTTAGCTCTTAGTGATTGAGCATGAAGTAGGTCATCTTAAAAATCTACCTTGATAAAAGATTGAGGATTTGGGAATCCATTTTGTAGCATATGGTCATTCTAGATAATTTAATTGTTCAATATCATTTTAGTAACAGATCTGCAGCCATATGTATCATCATCATATATAATTGTGTTCGGAGACAATCTGCAGCCATCTTTCACCAGAGCAATCAAGGCGGAGCAAGTGTATTGTTGTTGTTGTTGGAATAGCCACTAGATGACCCTTAGCTTCATGTCGTGACTGTTGAAGAGCAAAGATGGAGATCTCGTGCATTGATTAATCTTGCCAGTCTAGGTAATTGGTCAACACAACCATTTCAGTACTTTGTGGCGAGTATGAAAATACGAACTTCATCACTATTATTCAACAACTTCAAATAGTGGTTCATCGATCGAAGAGCTTGTATCGAATGTTAATCCATCTTGTTTCCTTTTCGATTATGAAGCAAAATGAAAGAATCCTTCCATACATTAGTGATGTATTGCATCTAAACTATGCCATTAATTGTGCAAATGAAGCTAGCAAAAGAAATCACCACCTCTACATTAGTGATGTGGGACACATAGTACAACCTTGGTAGTACTAAACCCTATGACAATTGACACAACTAGATAAACAACACAATCCAAAACCCCATGATGAATGATGATGTGTCCCATCTTGCCTCCCCCTCTATATAAACCATCTCCTTTCCCCCTTCTCAAAACCACATTCCAACATTAAAACGAGTTCCCTAAACAAAAATAAAAACTTACTCCGTTCCTATCACATCCAACCTTCCAAAACCCACATCCTCCAAACCAAAGAAAGAAACTACCAACAATGTACCAAACAGAGTCATGGGGATCGCCCTACGTGCCAGCATCGGGGAGAAACGGAGTCGGGTCTTACTCCGGCGGCGGTGGGGACCCTTTCGAACGGATAGAGCGGCTTGCGGCGGAGAGCGCGGTGGTGATATTCAGCATAAGCAGCTGCTGCATGTGCCACGCCATCAAGCGGCTCTTCTGCGGGATGGGCGTCAACCCGACCGTCTACGAGCTGGATCAGGCGGGCGACCCAATTGCAGGGAAGGAGATGGAGCTGGCGCTGATGAGGCTGATCGGAGCCTCCTCCGCCGCCGCTCTCCCCGTCGTGTTCGTGGGCGGGAAGCTCGTCGGGGCTATGGACAGGGTCATGGCTTCCCATATTAATGGCACCCTCGTCCCTCTACTCAAAGATGCCGGCGCTCTCTGGCTCTGAAGACCAAAAACAGAGCCTCGGCTTTCTCTAAGTAGACTTTATTTCTTATCTCTGTTTTCTGGTATTTGAAAGAAAAACAAGAGAACCCAGGAACAAAAATTCGATCTTTTTTCTTCTTGTTGTTGTTTTGTCCATGTTTTAGTGCTAATGTTTAGGAAAGTTCCTCCATTTTTGGGGTTTGGGAAGGATCCAAATTAAGTGTTGCTTAAGGACTCTGTTTCTTCAGTTGTTGCTTAGGGAGGGAGGCCTTTGTGTTTAAATTTCCAAGTGTTTTCTGTTTTTTCTTTTAGTGATTTGTGAGAAATGTGAAGAAAGAAATTTATTTGCTTCCTCTGCTTTCCCCCCTCCCTGTCCCACTCTCTTCTCAAATGGTGTTTTTTCCGCCAGAGCATTACTATTAGCCATCCAATGCAGAAACTGCATCGTCAATACAATGTTGTTTCAGTTCTCAACATGATGTTTAAGTTTGATGGTTGTCATTTTGTACCACTTTTCCACATAGGTAGAGGCGTAGAGGCTACAGCATGGATTTTTAAACATAGAGGTTGATATGTGTGCAATTTGGTTATGGTTATGGATTAAGCTACCCATCCAATGCACAAATGCCTTGTTAAGCAGCCAGGTGGAACTGGAGGGAGGGAAATAAATATAATGGACCCTTGTGGTGGATTTTAGGATGTGTAGGAGGGGCCCTCTGGATAATGGGGCCTGAGGCCCATGTTTTCGGCCTAACTATTTGCACCATCAGTTTCAGTGCGATTGGATCAATCTTGTAGGCCATACATCAACTGTAGCCCTCCAGTGTTTGACGGCTCATTCTTCCTTTCTAAATTTATTATCATATCAAAATGCCAGTATTAGCATGATACCACCATTGATAATAGTGAATAAACACGAAACGGTAAATAGTTGGTCATAAATTGAGCTTCATTTTCATCAGTGAATATCGCAAAATCGAACTCTTTATCTCATAATTTAAGACGATCAATCAGCTTGCTATACCTTCATAGTTTTTTTTTTGTCATTCAAACCATCTCCGGGGAGAGGAAGATAAGATCCACACAACGTCAATTACAAACTCCGTAACCAAGACACATAGTCGAACCTCGACAGGACCCGAGGCGACAAACTCAGGGACTTTTTGGCCACTAAATGAGCCACCCTGTTTCTCTGACGACCTACAAATCTTAGTTCACAATTTCCACCGAAACCAGCCAGCAAGGATCCAATCTCACGCAAAATAGAACCCACCTTTGAATCCTTGACATCCCCAACCAAGCACTTGTCCAAGATCACTTTAGCATCACCCGTAATTAGTAGAGGATTCAAATGCCTACGAGCACACTCCCTCAAGCAATCTCCGAGTGCCAAAGTTTCCAAGACATGAGCATCCACAATCCCTGGATAAATTGTACTCGTTGCAGCAAACGGAGCTGCATTCACATCCTCAAAAGAACCTTCACAAATTGCAAAAGAAGCAGCCCCGGAATCACCACGCCCAGTTGCACCATCAAAGCAAGCATGAAAACGAGGCGATAAAAGTTGCCGAGGAGCTGGGGCTGAAACACCAACGTGTTCAAGGTTGGAATAAGTTAAAAGGCCTGATAAACAAAGGATTAGTTGAACCCAAGAGAGCAGAGACCATGTCGACTAATAGGTTACCTGGGCCAGGAGAGCTCCGCCCATAAAAAGCCCGGTACGGCCCAATTGAGACATGCCATATTAGTGCTGGTATCTGGTCACGCTAGCTGCTAGCTACAAGATAATTTTTTTTCTTTTCAAATAAGGTTCAATAACTTTGACCAACATTAATTACCGGAAAAAAAAATCTTTGACCAACAATGGAAATTTTATAACTAATTGTTTAAAAGATGATGCACGTTTCATTGGAAGCTTTACAAAAATTCAGAATAAAATGATGCCGAAAATTCTATGATTTTTTCCACTATATTTCATAATCAATTGAATTATAGAACAACTTCCTAACTATACCAAAGTTTGATTTCTGCTCTTATGACAAGGACATACCCTCATAGGGAGGAATGTCGTTAATGTAGGATAAAGTAGATACTTCAATACTCATACTCACATCATGTTAGTTGTATGTCTCGTGAAAAATAAAAGACAAAAAAATAAAATTAATGACAATCTTGAGGTCAAGATTCAAGGGTAAGGTTTTTATAAATAAGGTACATGAAGAACTATATTTTTTTTGTGAGAAAAAGGAGTGCTACGGGCACCACAACCGTTAACTAACAACCATACGGGGCGTTTCCACCCCCCAATCAAATCGAAATACAACCAATAATTTAACATTGGGGCCGGCTCTTCAAGTAAATGGAATCCCTGCTGGAGTTTGTGACCTGTCGAGGCCAAGCAGAGAAGAACTATATTTTAAGGTAACTCTCGTTTTTTTCTTTAATATTAATTAGTATCTTATATGCCACATAATTAAAATAATTTTTTGACTCTTGATTGATTTTTCAAGTTTAGATAGACATAATTTGATAATCAACCTAAAATAATGACGTGATTCATGAATATCAAACAAAACTCATGTCATATAATTTACTCACTTACCATTAAAAAAATCTTGAATGTCGAGCAAACTCACGAATTAATTCTCGTTATTATTTAAAACAAAATTCTCTTCTCATTTTGGGTCAAACTAAAAAAATTGCTAAAATTTAGGAAACTGAATAAAATGATTTACGCATTAATAATTTCTAGTTATTATTCACTTTAATCACTGACAAGATTCTCCACTTCTTCTTCTTCTTCCCTAGTATCCCGTATCACTTTTCGTCCGCTCTTTCTCTCTCTTGAAATTGTGCTCTCCAGGAGGGAATTTTCTCTCTCTTTCTTCTGTTTATCCCTTTCCTCTCCAAAGGGTTTTGATCAAATTCCTCATACTGATAAAGTGTAGCCGTCAAGATTCCTCCTGCTGAAGATCGGGGTAAACCAATTTAGGGTTTTTCCCATCCCATCCAAATTCGCCGGGCGGGAAAGAAAACTGGCAGCCAATCGCCGCAAGTTCGGATTTTATTTGTCAGGTAATGCATCTTTCCGATTATTCGTTTCAGCAAGTTTCAGTCTTTATTGCTTTTCTATTCTGAGCTAGAAATGGAGGTAGAGCTTGAACTGACGGCCCTCTGTTGACTTTTTCCTTAATTGGTTATGAGTTTAGGGAGAGATAGAGAGGGAAGATAGAGAACGACAAGTCTTGGAATCGGGCAGTGATCGGATTGATTGGGGGAAAAGAGAGATTCAGCGGCTTTGGAGATACGCGAGACGAAGAAGAGCAAATGCCGGAGGAAGATTTTGTGGAGCTCAAGTTCAGGTTGTACGATGGAACCGATATTGGTCCATTTAGGTATTCGCCGGCTTCTACGGTTGCTGTTCTGAAGGAAAGAATCGTCGCTGAGTGGCCAAAAGGTATGAAAGTTTGTTCAGCTTTTCGTTGAAAATTGTAGCTTGGGGGAGTTGATTTGTAGGTTTGGTTGGGAATTGAGATTTCTGGGCTTGCGGGAAATGAATGTAGCCACTCAATACCTGATTGAAGTCATCAAATTGTTCATTGTTTGAGGTCTAGTTGAAGCTTGTTAAGTTTATATGAGGGGTCGCCTGTTGAACTGGCTTAGCATCTTTTTCCCAGCTCTGCTGCCTGGTTTGCTCTGTGCTTTCCTCGGTCTTGCATTTCTCTCATGCTGCAATTCTGAACGGGTACTTTGTGAACGTTAATGGGTAATGGTGTAGGTAATTACTCCTGGCTCTTGGCTTGGTTTGAGAAAATGTCTATAGCTGTAATGGGTAATGGTGTTGAGGGGATGCAGCATACCAACCTTGTCTATCTGTATACTTGTGATCTTGAGGATTTGTGCTCATCACTTGCTGCATGTTCAGAAGTTAGTTGTTTATCTGGTTGTGTTGCACGATATTGGATAGATCATCTGTTCTTTGGTGATCCAACTACTCCAAGGATTGCATTTGAATCTGCTTACATTTCTTCTGTTGTTTTTTACTTTGGTCTCTCTCCATTTCCATGTTGCATAGTAAATTGGAAGGCTCTGTGCAATCATTTTCTTATCTCTCTCACTACAATTGCCTTCTTATTAAAGGGTTGGTGGAGTGAATGCATGATACTGCTCCTTGTAGCTCTACTTTTTTTCTGACCATCCCCTCGACCAGTAATCTGACCATTCACGAACCTTGTTGTTTGTTAGATAAAAAAAATGCACCCAAAGGAGCAAATGACATCAAACTGATAAATGCTGGAAAGATTTTGGAAAACAGCAAGACCGTTGGCCAGTGTAAGGCCCCTTTTGGAGATCTACAGAATGGTGTGATTACCATGCATGTCGTCGTGCAGCCATCTTTGGCCAAAGCAAAGACAGGTAATTTATGTGCAATTACCACTTTACAGCTACTGTGCTAATGCTGCGTAATAACTAGGAATTACCTAAAGGTGTAGTGCATAACAAGAGAAGAAATGATGTTGAATATATGCTCCTGTTAGGTTAGCCTGGCCGCTTAAGTAAGATGTTTGTTGTTACCTTCATTTTCATTTAACTATCCCTTAATTCAATACTTGGATAGGGATGAAGTTCAAAATCTGGTGTTGTTTTCTTCCAATACTCTATTCTTTTCTTGGTTTGACAGAGAAAAAGGTCGACGATGCTCCAAGAAAGAATCTATGTTCGTGTACCATATTGTGAGAAGGCGCTTTGGGTTTGTTGATTTGTTCAACTTAGGGAGGAGGGGAGGAGCTTTTATACCGGCGGTGATGTTGGTCCTGTTCAAAATCTGAGGATCGTGATGGATATGAGTTGTAAGAATGCTGTATACATCCTCTCACTGCCAAAACATGTCTCTTTGTGTGTCAGGGGCTGGGGTTGAGTTCAGTCCTGCCCTTTTGATTGTATGTTGTGATAAAAAAAAAAAATGTATTCCTACATGTTGATTGAAAATTTGTGTACCTTGTTCCTCATCACTACTGCTAAATGATATATATAAATCTTGCCCTTTTCTTTCATGCGGTCTCTTCATCCAACTCTCATGTAAAGTGTTCTGATAACTTGATCTTTGTTTGTTCAAGCCTGATTCTATAGTTTTGTCCACTACAAGTATTGTTAGTAAATACAGTGCAAGATAAGAATGCTGGCTATCTTTATGCTTGAATACAAAGGGTGAGAAGGAAATGTATCTTCTTGCAGCAAGTATATGAATGGATGAATGGTAAAAATTGGGTTAGTGACCCTTGTAGTAGTTTATTAACAAAAAATGGAGTTCTTGTAATATTTTAGTATTTGTAGAGTACATTCTAGATAACTCACCTGCTTCCTAAATTCCATATCTAGATTACACATTTTCTATTACCTGTTATGTTGCTATTGCTGTTTAAGAATGATGGGGGTTGAAATGAGATTATACAATGAGTTATTATGAAATGCGCATCATTTATAATGTACTTATTTGTCATGGATCGATCTAATGAAATAGACAAAAAGTTTTAATTTTAGAAAACAAGTATGTGTTTAATCAACAATATATGGCCAGAAAATGTCACCAACCCAACAGAATAGCCTAATAGGAATGCATCATTTCCACCATTGAATGATTATGAAGCAAAAAAAAGGACATAGAGAATCTTTCAACCATCAACATAAAGATCTTCACGAAACAGGAGGATTATATTCTATTCATGGATGAATTAACTATCTATAGACTATAGTATAGCCCTAATAATAATAATTAATCAAAACACCAAAATATCTGAAAATTACATTAACACAAAAAATCATCTAGTAATTAAATAGCAAAAAATGGTAATTGGATCAAATTTCTAATGGGTTCCTTCCTTGCACTTCCTTTTACTCCAACATTGTTTTTTTCTTCTTCTTTTCTCCGTCTATGATTCTCAAGACAAGCGATTAAACCAAGTAACCAAACTATAATAATCAAAATAATACAAAACAATTCCATATTGAACTCTATAGAAATATCGAACAGAGACACGCCACATAGACGTGCGAAACATTAGGAGAAGAAAAAGGGGAAAAGGTACCCACAAGAATTTTTCCATCATCACGATCATCACCATTGATCACTAGCTGTCCAAATCACTTTCATTGATCACCAATCATGATCATGACCATTCATCATCATCATCATCAACCATTGCATCAGCATCTCCATGCAGAGGCAGCAAGAATGGCTCTGTCCTGCCACCCTAGGAGCAAGCAACCTTTGTCCTCAGTCAGCCTATACCCATCACACGAATACAATCCCAAGAGTATCTTCGACTGGGTCACAGCATTCGAACTCAGGGGCACACCTTTGAACCCTTTCCCTTCCATGAGCTTCCTCCACTTCTCGAGTCTCTCGTGCCTCTCGGTCCTCTCGACTCCCTCGCAGGCCACGATGTTCCTGATCTCGGGGGCGAAGATGTACTGTTCCACTTTGGCTCTCTGGGCCGAGTCTGGAGGAAACGTTGCATCCAAGGAATCGAAGATCGCAGAGTAGTAGTGCAATGCCTCGAGGAACCTCCCCAGGAAGTAAGGTCCGTTGTGGCTGGCTTCCTGCTCGACTAGAGTTACAATGTTGGGTGCCTGGTCCCTGATCATGGCCAGGAGCGGGCCAATGGACTTTCCCGGGACCCTGTGGAGCCTGTTGACCGAGTTCACGGCTAGAGCCTCACCGACCCTGCGGTTGAACATATGAGGTCTGAGGTCCTCCAACTCCTCAGCGACTGCGTGATACTCGAAGGGCACGTGGAGGGAGTGGGCCAGCTCGGTTAGGCACCGTCCAGTCTCACGAACACACTCAGGAGAAGACCCCACGCCTGTGATCCGAAGGAAAGGAGCCCCACCTGGTCGGGCTGCCAGTGCCTGCATAAATGCAGGCCACTGGTAGCCCTGTAGGATATCAAGGTCGATCACGTGGACACGTTCCTCGGACTCAAAGGCCTCGAAGATGGCCTGGTTGGCGGTGAAGTGGGCGAACTTGATGTAAGGGCAGGCCTGGTAGAGGATTTGGTAGATCTTGAGGATCTCCATGGAGCTTGATGTGAATGGAGTGAATGGTCTTGGAGTGGAAGTGTTTGGCTTGGTTGCAAGTGTGGCAGCGAGCCTGGCGCTCAATGCTTCGGTGAAGCAAGCAGCGACTCGTTGCATCGAGTCGCCAAGAGGAGTGACGACTCTATTCAGGTGGTGAAGGTATTTCCTTGCTAGCATGTAGTCCTCTTTGGCGACTGCTTCTGCGCAGGCCAGCAGAAGGTGTACGAGTTGTAGCCCACTGTCGGATTGCTCCTGAATAACAAAAGAAGAGCACTCATATTAACTGGTGTCACATGTGATGATAACTGTGCATCCTAGAAATTCACAAACAAATGCCTGTCCACCAGGTTAAACAAGAGGTGTTTCGATCATCAAAGGTGGTTTACTATCATTTCAATCAAATACAAAAAGAGAAGTTGGAAGGAGATGTTCATAAACAGTATATATCATTTCATGTGAAACGAATAGACCAAATTCAAGGCAAAACGTAGTCACTTTTATTGTCATGCCATAATATCCATCTTCTATGTACAAGTATCTTTCATTTCAAAGTATCAAAATGAAGAGTATCAATTCATCGTAGTGGCACTTTCAAAGCTGAATCTGATCTCACTTTCTCGTAGAAAAAAAAAATACCAAAGTCAATAGATAAGCATGCAAAATGGTATAGCTCCTCTATACGCAAGTCTCTTTCCTCCTAAATAGTTTCTTCATGTCAAGCTAAGGTATAGGACAAGAAGATCGGGTGAAGACGAAAGCTGTTCGTTAGCAACATACGATCATAAAAAAACTTAATCTTATGGTGGAACAATCAATCAAGCACGGATTCATCTCACTAATACGAGGTCTTATCAAACGTTTTAAAACTAAAATCCTGCCATGCAAAGCTACTTTCACTTGTGATACTGTCTAACATATCTCTGTTCTAAGTCTCTTTCATCCCAATCTCTTCATGTCAAGGAAACAAAGAATAGAACAAGAAGAGGGAGGTCAAACAAAAGAAAAGGGGGAGTTTAGAACAGTACCTGCTCGGAGCCAATAGGCAGAGGCGCCATCAACCCATGTTCTATTGCTCCACCACCACCACCACTACCAGCCGTCCTCGGCGCCGGTTCGGCTGTGGCCGGCCTCGTCTGCAGAACAACTTGCTTCTCTTGATCCCTATCTTCCTGCAACCGATCAGAAAGAGTCCCCATAGGAAACATCTCCCTTTCTTGCACCACCATCTGATCATGATCATGACTCCCCCCTCCACCACTTTCACCACCCTCACTAAACCTTGAAGGATTCGACATCGTCAAACAACTATCCATCAACGATGAAACAGGTATTGAAAGATCAAACAGCTGATGCGATGGGGTCGAGCTCATCTTATTATCGTCCAAGAAATCCTCGATCCCACCGGGCAACGAAGAGAGGTTCTCCAGCTGCATATAATTATTACCAGGAGAGTTGAACATCCTGTGAAGAGGGCTCTGCCCTTTCCCTTTCAAACTCGAGCTAAAGCTACCCAGTTGGGACGAGAGATGCCGTGGCGGAGAACATCCAGCCACAGTACTCTGTCCTTGTTGCATTGCCTGCACGTAGCTGCTGTAGCTGAAACTTGACGGCGAAGGAAACAGGTTGCTGGTGGTACGGACGGGGGAAGAGATCATGAAGTCGCCTTCGACGACATGATCGGAGAAGAAGCTCTCCCATATGGAACTGTCTGGGGACTGGACTTCAATATCTCCATCACCCACCACCTCGAACTTCACTGCAGGAAAATTGAGACTTGGTGGAGTTAGTTGAAGTTGTTCCATGTCTGAAGAAGACATGGTTGTTTTCTTGGACTCGCAAACAGAGGATTCATTTGGGGAAGTTGGTTGCTGTTGTTGATGCTGCATCTTGGTGGAGCATGAGCTGCTCTCAGTACTCTTGAGAGAACCCACACTTCCACACACAGAATTTATCATATTTTCTTCTTCCTTCCTTCCTTCTTTACTTTTGTTTGTTAGTTTCCCTCTTGGAAAAGGTCAAGTCTTTTGTGTAAGGGAAGAAGGATTAAAGAAATGGGTTGTAAAATTTTCTTGTATTACAGCTGAAAATGGCCAAAACTTTTACTACTACTCGAAGCTACTCCTAGTTATACTAGTTGAAAATATTGACAATAAACCCTCTAAATAGAAAACATGCTAAACTTATTAATTAATAGATTTTCGATAATAAATTAACTATGACGTCTTTGGAATTACAACTACACACAACAAATCATTTCTTTCACCAAGTGAATATAAATTACCTCACTACTTCGGTTTTCACACTATGAATCCTAATTATCCTGATCTTCGATACTGAAGTAATTACAATGTTCTTGAGATCTCAAACTTCAGTTTGATTAATAAAATAGATAAGGGGACCTTTTACACCCTCATTCATGGGAAAAACCCCTGTAGATGGGTTTCTTTATTTCTTTTCTCTTTTCCATTCCCATCATTTTCATTTCAAAGCATATTGCCTTGCTTATGAAAGGAACAGAGAATATAGACAGAAACTGCAAGCTATGGACATTATTGAATAAATAAAAGTTTTACGGATAAGTACAAAACGACTGAAGTAAAACAAGAATTCTTTTGTAACCATTTAAATTCCATTATTTCGAATATTATTCTTATTAGGTTTAGATTTAAGGGAGATGACACCATGAAACATCACAAAACGATTTAAAGAGGGGGGATTAGTAATTTTTTTAATAATAAAGATCAATATCATCAGTTTGCCACCTTGGTAACAAGGTTGATTAACTGGTTTAGCTGGTTACTAGGCCCTCATTTTGTCTTATATTTTGCTTAATCTATTCTTTTCTTCCTGTGAGATGACTAAATGACAAGCTGGAGAGGACCCTCCACTGTGACTGGGCCGGCCTAGCTCAATAAACATCTCCAGAATGGTCATTTTTCATTGGCAGTTAAAAGTTTGGGGGAATAAACTGGACAAAGACAGCATAGTTGGTGAAAATGACCTTATTTATACATTCACTAAAAATGATGACTAAGACATCTATCATTCTTTGAGTTTACTTTCTAATCATGGTTAACTTAATACTAGCGCCCAGCAACCACACAAAATCAAGTGGATAATGTAAAAAATTCCATCTTTTCTTTCATAACATCAAACTTTATATGAGCACCAGATAATCAGTTATAACAAGGAATACTAGCATAACATCTTTATCGACCATGAATGTCTGTCACACATGGCTGGAAAAGCATGTAATAGAGGAAAGAGAGAAGGATTTATGTTAGTATTAACATAAGCTATCAATGAGAGACTGAACGAATAGTAAAACAGCCAACTTTCGACCCGGAAGGTCTCGAGTCTGAATACCAGCTCTGATAATCTATGTTCCATCAACTTTATTCAATCATGGAAGAGGTAACGCCCCTTCGAAGTGTACCAGCAAAGTCCTCTACTCTTAAGTTAGCTTATCAGACAAGAATGCTAAGCAACTATACTAGTTCGAAAAACTAGTATGAGTTGATGGGTTGCAAATCGGGAGACCTTCGCGTACGAAAGAAAAGCCACACGAAAATAATTGTGTCATTCACAAGAGTGTGGATAGCCCTCTCCCCTTGAGCTAGCTTTCGGATAAAAAAACTTCACTTGCACCCAACAGTTAACTCATAAGAAAGAAAAGGATTCAAGTTTATAAGTTAAACAGCAAGATTAATTAGTAGACTATAAAAGACAAGAGGAGACATTTCTTTCACTATAAAAAATGGAGGGGAAACAGGAGACATAGGCAAGGCCGTCGGACTTGGCGTCGGAGGCGCCGCCCGTGGCCTTGGATTTGACAAAGGAACCAAGTGGCTTGTGCTTGTCCTGGCCAGCTCTCAGGCGGCAGTGTGTTCCTTTGTCTCATTCTCTTATTGCAGTAAAATTATTAGAAAAACATATGATTCAATTATTTCAGTGAAAAGCATATTTTTATTTACCCTCCTTAATTCCAACTCTCACTCAACTTAAACTCTACAGACAAAAGGAAATCTCCAACAAGTCGTTCTATTTTGTCCAATACCAAAATGTTACTTTGTTTCCCACCCTCTCTTACGCCTCGGCAGGTGGCACCCTCTCAACCAATCCCAGTTATCCAATTTTTAACCTAATTAGAATGACTCTTTCATCAACCAAAATATATATCAGGTAGACAAACAATGATCTTCTAAACCTTTTTAAAATAATGAAATTGAACCAAAAATCGAAAAAGATAGTAATGAGATTATGAGAACAATACGCGCTATTAACTATATAACAGTCATTTTTTAACATCATTTCAAAAACTCGACATGAACAATCCTTGCAAGAAATAAAGAAGAATATCGACCGTTATATTTTTATTGTGAACGAACATGTAATAGAATGATATCGAATTCATTTTTAGACCTTTTCAACTAAAAAACATACAATTCAATGCATTCATTCAATCTAATTCAACAAAAGCTAAAAACAAATGGTAACATGAGACAAACATAGTCGGTTTGCTTAACAGAAAATCTTTTGCCATCAAATTAGGAGTATATTAAAGCTAAGAGTTTGACTTTTCATAAACAGGGGAGTATGCATTATATAAAAAATTCTTCAAAGTTTTGTTTAATATAATCTGTACTGCATAGCTTTGGGATTATGTGATAGATACATAATTATCAGACAAACAGTAAGCTTCTTACAAACATGAAGTTATTGCTAATCAGCCAGCCAACCAGCCGTGGCTCCAATACAAAGTTCCAAATTTGAGATCAAAACTTTGGAAGTAGTCTAGATATAGGTCGAAAATCCAAAGGGTAGTACATGCCCTAACTTTTGGGCCAACACTGTGGTGGACCAGTCAAATGAATCCTCTCCTCACCTTCCCTAATATAGCTCCTACCTTTTAGATTTTGACCTAATCTTCCTGTCAATTTCCAGGCATGGAGATCGGAATGGAAAGTGATGGTTGATTTCCTTATTAAATTATAGGCAGGGCCTAATTAAGGTGTTTTCTGATTCTAAAGACCACAGGCTTGCTATGGGGCTGATATGAGCTGATGAGAATGGGAATTGGGCTGTTAGCATTGGGCTTCGGCCCATTGAGAAAGGACAGATGAAATTGCTATAAAAGCCAGGGGAACAAAAGATCAGAATGTTTGTTCAGACAGGCTGTAATGAATCATATGGCGGGCAGAGGCTTGCAACTACCAAGAGTAGTGTGGCTTGTACCAACAACAGAACAAAGACCAGAGTAGGGTGCATCTTTGAAAACCATAGTGAGCAAAACAGGATGAAAACTTTATAAAACACAACAGGATAAAAACTATACTAAACGGGGCCTAATACTTCAACTATAATGCTGAAATCAAGCTAGCAATACTTGATCTCTACTAATACGTAGTTGCACCAGTACCTCAAGCTGGTGCAATAAGATTTCACAAACTAATTTTGTACCGAACAAAATCCTATCTTAGACAGATAAGGCACAGTAAAGCCTTTTCATGACAGAAACAAACAAAACAAACAACGCGCCAATAGCTCCTCAACCTACTATGTATAAATAAGGCCACCCAAAATGGGTTATGGCTCTCTTATCAGAAGTTGAAAGTGAAATGACACAATGCACTAGCAGCTACCATTCAGCATTCATCAAAGCCATCTCTTCTCCCTCCTTCCTTTCCCTTCCTTTCCATTCCCACCACACCCTCACTTTGCTTTTATGACATCAACCATTAATGCTCAGTTCACAGAGCCTGGCTACAGAAATGAGGCAAATGAAGGAAGAGGAGCAGGTAAAGAGAGAGGGAGAGAGTGAGGACGGTAAGCAGTTGCTAGTTAGTACATTTTAGCTCTTCTTTCTCTTGAAGGTGCACTGTTTCCTTTGGTTTCTACAAGTGGGGGAGACATTCCCGCTTTTAACTGAGCCCATGTGATCCATGGCTCTTTTGCTTGCGATTGCATAATGTCTATAAAAAAGGCTCATATGAACTGCATGAATCGGATACAAATGAAGCCTCCCTATCTACTATCTAGTCTCTACTCTCTTATCCCCCCTCTCATAGTTATTGCTAACAACTACACCGACCAACCCACCCATGGCAGCAAGCATGTGTGCCATAAATTTCCATGGATAAGTGGCTTGATGAACCAGACACTAATCACATAGCCCTTAAGCTCTACTTCCACACCCTTAACCACATGTTTCAGTTTCCCTGCTGTGAGTCTATAAATTGCTATTGCCTTTTCCTCCCCCTAAGCAATAAAGAAAGAGCCTTCTACTCAAGCCCAACGGACCACTGAAAGCTACTCCCTCTCCCTACCGCTACACATCCTCCCTCCATATAGGCCAAATGATATTCACATGACCTTGTTTCTAGTGAGGGGAAGAAAAAGAAGAATTAAAATTCATTTTCTCCTACTTGTCGCTCAAAGCTGGAATTCACCAACTATTCTCTGCTGTTGTTCCGTTTCATTATCCACAGAACCTGAAGAAGAGCTCATCTTCTAGTAGTACATGATAATGCTCTGAAAATTCTTTGCCACTAAAATCCAAAGCGCTCACAAAGGTTGAAGAAGCCTTAGTGTGGGGAGAAGTCTATATTTCCTACTTGCTCTCATCTTGCCATGAATCATCCGGTTATTATTGTTTTGTTCGTCTCTTCTTTGTTCACTATATCACTGTCCCGAAAGGTTGAGCTCCCCACTAGAAATGCACAAATCAGAGTTATCGGGTTTGTTTATTGTGATATCTGCTCTAATAACAGCTTTTCCAGACACAGCTACTTCATGCCAGGTAAGACATTTTTCTTCTTGCTTATGAGCTAGTGCGTGGATATTCATTGAGGTAATGTTTTCATGGAGGTTTTAGTTGTCTTCTTATGTGAAGTTTTTTTGTGAAACCAGATGCAGAAGTTAGAATAGACTGCAAGTTCAAAGCAAGTGCACCGAAAACAAGGGAGCAAATAGCATTCTCAGTAAACAGGACAACAAACAGGTACGGAATGTACAAATTAGAAATACCAGCTGTTGATGGGATCGAGTGTGCAGAGTCGGCCATTGCATCTTCCTGCGAGGCAAGCTTGATGCGGACTTCATCCAAATCGTGCAATGTTCCTGGATACAAAACCACATCAGATGAGATAGCAATCAAAGCCAGGAATCCCAATCTCTGCATCTACAGCCTCAATGCATTGAATTTCAGACCGTCGAAAAGCGAGAACTCTCTGTGTGGGCATTAGTGAAAGATCAAAAGGCTTAGAGAAGTTTGTTCTGGGACACAACAAAGTTTTCCTATAAATGAATTGACTTCTCCGTTAATTTTCATAGTTGCCCTCTACCATTTTGTCAGTCTTGCAATCTGCCCTTCTGTTAACCCAGCGGAATCTATTCTTCAAACCCACGACCCAGATTCACCAAATTTATACTCAATTATCATTTGGGTTTCTGTGTTTCTCTTGGTTGATACTATTATGTCGGAACACTGTGTAAATGCAAATGCAGATATGTCAGTATGGACAAGCTTTTTCATCATTAAGCTTCTGTAGCCTATTAGATATACGGTCTTGTGGCTAACCACCAAGTAGTTACCCAAACGGAAGGTGCTAGTTAAAGGCACGAACGTACTTAAGGTTCTAGAATGGGCGGCACATCAAAATTAAGGTGCAAAACATCACGCATAGAAAGTGGGGAGAATAAGAGGAATAAGAATTACCCCGGAGACTGTTTGATTCCAAGCTAGAGCTATCAGCTTCAGTGTCAGCCTTCATAAGTAAATGCATGCCAGCCTGAAACCAGTGAAGGGTCCTTCCTTCACACTGGTTCTTCTTCACAGATAAACAAACTAACACAGTAGTAGTTACTGGTCTAGCCTTGCTCTGGATTTGGTCTCCTCAGCTAAACAATCCAAGTTTCTCCAAACTTTAAACTGCCACCACCGTCATTTTGTTTCCTTCGAAGCGATAGCCATGCAGAAAACAAGGAGAGGAAATTAGTCACGATACCACCAAATATTGGATCTCTATAACAACTGTATAATCGACGTCCCTGCCTTCCCCTCCATCGTAACTCGTTCATATTCCTCGCCTTGTCATATTCTGTTTCATGTCAGCGGACTAATTCCTCTTTTCCCATCTTGCTCCAATTATGTTAGATTACAGTTTCTGTTGTCCATTCAGCAGGTTGCAACAATTTAACAGGGGAAAAACGACAGATTTAAGTGTGTCGCGTTTGCCACCAGCTTCCTAAGAAGAGGACAGGCAGCCCACAATGCAGGCAGAATGGACAACAAAAGGGTATTTTCAACAAGAAACAAAGATTAGAAGCTGCAAAATTTAACTTTATGAAGGAACTGAAACAGGGCAGTCAAAGGAAACCTTTCACCAGTTATACATTAAAGCCATCATGCTTCCTAAATAATACCCATTTTCGGCATGAGAAGAAGAAATGTATTGGCAGACAAACATGCAGACGTTCTTCACCATGTAATTCTACTCCTTTTCCACGTTCGCCACTCTAAACAATGCAAGATCATATCAGGAAGGAAACAAGAAGATATCTAAGGGAACTAGTGGATCCCATTTCTCTGATCCTTGTTTGTTTCTTTCCCATTTGATTTCATCCAGGGATCTACTGTAGTTATAAGTAAAAGGACAAAACTTTGATTTGCCTGACTGATACTAATCCTAAACTGGATACCCCCATCTGTCTTCCAGATGATACCACCATGCAAGCACTTCAACATAAGCTGGAGCTCAAACGCAAACTTAACTCACCAGAGACTATAAATGGAGTTGAAGAGGAAAGCAGCCAAGCCAAGCCCAACTTGCTGAGACACAGAGCTCTTTGATTATCTCACATCTATATGTGGCTTTTCCATGTGAATATTGAAATCAATCTTGAGTTTAAAGTCGTCATCTCTGCATTACCTCTAGATCAATCTCTTAAGATAATTTTAGACCCATATCGTTATTGAATGTCTACCAAATCACAAGAAAAAAGAGTACTTAAAACTAATTAAGCCTGAGGACATAATAATGCTAATGTACAAATTTTCTGGTCCCTCACTGCCACTTCTCTTCGACTTCCCCCACATATTTCACCTCAGCAATCCATTAACATATATCTAACATGGAGTGGAAATGACAGAATCCCTTGCCTACCTCATTAATACAAACATGTTCTCCTTTTTAGGACCATCCCCACATGAGATATCCTGGCTAGTTAAATCACAGATCTCTCACAGTTTTTAGGTCTAAATAGAAGGTCGATGCAATGAAGCGCTGAAAAACACAGATACCCGAAATCCTAAAATCAACCAGTAGACCTAACATTTCCACCATTAATGCAGGCAACGAAAGACCTGGCCCAAAACACACCACACACAGAACGCTTGTAAACCATTGAGCCACATCATTGTTTGTACCTTCAGTAATCTAAAGAACAGAATTACATCCGTACCTTAGAGCGGGAAAACTCCTCCATTCGCAGACCTTCCGATCGCCGTGCCTGTCCTCAGCTCGCTTCGACTCGCGGCGGTAAGTGGATATGTTATGTCCGATCGTCACCGGCTGGCGACGAAGAAGACTGTCTGGATTGTGATACATCGGCGGCATTGGATTCGTACTTGCAGAAGAGGGAAATCCGTTGCGGAAGAGATTCGCGCTCGCTGGAATTTTCAAGCAATTTTTTGAAATCTGTAGAAGTTCTTGTGGCTCCTGTTTTGTTGGGGAGGACTGCGGAGGGAAGGCGTGGTCACGCGGCAAAGTTGCAAAAAGGTTTCCCGACGGGTTGGGCGGCAAAACTAGTCCAGTAAGGAAGGAAATATGCCCAACAATGTAGTGTTTGGGTTGGGGAATGTTGGTGGGCCTGGTTGGAGATTAATTTAACCAAAAGCCCAAAAGTGGTGATGGAATCATGGTAAATTAGTCAATTTTGTTGATCACCTCCTCATTTAATTATAAAAAAATTAGCCGTTTGATATCTAGCTATGTAGTTCATAATTTTTTTATTTAACTATGTGAATAAAGCACGTTATGTGATTGGTTAATTATAGATATAAAATGGAGATTACCAAGAATTAAATTTTGACCACCTTGATATTAGTTAATTCGTTAATCTTCTTCAAAGTTTTTCATCCAAAATAATTAATAGTTCAAACAGGTAACATTATAATCATAGTAACATTTAAAAATACTTTAATAACATTAAAATATATTACAAAATATTGTTCCTCAATCATTTGAGTTTTGGTATATATTTTAAATTGTATTTCTAGTGTTATTTTCTTCTAAGAAGATATAAAAATAAAGTAAAATTATAAATAGTATATCATCGATGATAAACATTCACCTTCAAATATTAACAGGATTACAACTAATAATCGTATTTGGTTCGAGTGAAGAATGCACATTTTATATATTTTTACCGCTCTTAATATTCAATTCAATTATTTAATAATAAACATTCTCCCGCCACTAAACACCGTACCGTTAAAATCGGCAGTATTGCAGCGCCAAGATTAAGTGATGACACCAATCACACCTCTGTCACCAACTTCTCAAACGTCTTCATCGCCGACGCCGGCAGCCCGAGAAACACACGCACCCCCTTCTTCCTCCCTTCCTCTTCTCCATCCGCCAGAAACAGAACCGCTTCCTTCCCCGGAAGCCCCACCGGCGCGGAGAAAAGCGGCCCGCCCCACCCAAAATCCGCCGTGTCGAATGCCAGCCTCGACCACGTCGTGATCACCAGAGTCGCCGCCATGGAAGGCCTGGCCCTCGTAACCTCAAAGTAATCGATCGCCGACCTCATGTAACCGTCGTCCACCATCCTTACCGACTCTCGAACAAGCCCCGCCGCGCGCGACAACGGCTGATTCACCAGTTCCCCTGCCTCGCAGATCGAATTCGTGAACACGATTCCGTTCCCGAAGTATCCGGTGGGCAGAGGAGGGACGAACTTGGCTCGACCGTCAACGGCGAAGATGAGCTTGGTGGGTTGATTGGGCGGGAAGTTCAGGGATTGGGTTCGCGCCCTCCACACGAACCCGGAAAGCGCTTCGAATGTGGAGCGTTTCTTCTCCGCCAGTGGGTCCACGTCGCCGCCTCCCACCGCCGATTTGGATTTTAGGGTTTCCAGCTGTTCGAATGCCAACGGGAAGGACTTGTAGACCATGGGATCTTCTTCTTCTTTTGGGTCTTCGAATTTGAGTTCTACATCGAGCAATTCGCCATGGACGTGGTCGATTTGGGTAGGGTTGCGCGACTTGAGGATGGTTCTGTCGAGGAACGGCGGGACTGAGAGCAAGAGGCCTCTGGCGATCTCTCCCCATGAGTTCACGAACTCCATTGCTGCGATTCCGTCGAATAGGCAATGGTTTATAGCGAGACCAAGTACGAATCCACCACATTTGAATTTGGTCACCTGATAGAGCAAGTGTTAGAATCCCTTTGTATATCAATTCAAATATTTTGAAATCAAATCATACTGTTTCTTACTTGATATGTTTTATTGTCGTTCATTCCTAATCGATCATTAATAATAGATGTTAAAATTTTATACGTAAAATGTGTACGACTCTTTTTAATGATTATAATTCTTATGTGAAAAAATGAATGGAGACAAACTTTGAGGCTATAGATGTTATTCCATAGGCTCACAAAAATGGTGGACTTGTTGTGTTTTTTGGCAAACCTAAGCACAATCAAAACCCTACACCCTAATTGTTGGGGGTGTTGCTAAGTGGCTCCCCGCAGAGACTAAGGAATACCGCGTCCAATTGACAACGTATGACGCTCTAAACCCGCTACGAGTATATAAAGGTATGAAACCCACCAAGGGAGGGGACTTCTCCTCTCGCCTCACTTTCTACTTTTCACTATCTCTCTATACTTGATCTCTCTATCTGTTCTCTCAACTCTCTCCACAAACCCACACTAACTTGACCGTCGGAGCTTAATCCGGGGGGCAACCCCGACTCTTTCACAGGTTTCTTCCCTCCCGACGAGATCAGACGAACGAATTACGAGTCCTCCCACACCACAAATATCATTGTTCGTGCCCGGAGTTACTGGGTTCAAACACTAATAATTCTTAAGTCGAAACCTAATTAGTCTCCTACTAGTTCTCATAATTATGGACTCCTAATGTGTCCATATGTATTTCCATCAATAATCAAAGATTGAATAGTAAAAAACGAAATTAATTATTCATGATACAATCATATACATTTTATGTGACAATATAATGATAAATTTGTACCGACGTTGATATGCATTCTAAAGGAGCATACAATCCCAACCGACTATGGTACCAACTAACTTCAAAATTTCAAAAACTACAACCAAACTAAAAGGAAAATTCCCCTGTTTTCAGAAACCACACAAGCAGAAAACCAAGAAGAGTGACAAAGAAATAAGGGGAAAACATGACCTGAGCAACAAGAGGAGGCATTTTCAAGACATTGCCAGCAGCGCCAGGAACTTCGTAGACCAGCTTGCCAAGATTTTCGAGATCGGGGTTACCTCTAACATCACCAATCTCTTCCATTCCACACTCTGCTTCAGCTTCCACGAACAGAGCACCTTCGCCATTGCAGTCGACGACGAGCTTCCCTTCCGGTCCAATCGCCAGCCTACCGGCGAGCGGGTAGTAATGAACGAGAACCCTCGCCAGAGCTCTCCGTATCACTTCCACAGGGTCGTCTTGGTTCGCCTTCGCCGCCGGTTTGTAGCAGTAAATGGTTCGGACGATCACGGCTACGTTCTGGTCGAGGTTGGACAAGAAGTAGAGCCCTGTTTTGGTCTCCTCCGCCGGCGTCACAAGAATCGGATCGCTTTGGTGGACTCTGAGCTTGGAAACGGCGCCATTTGGGGTCTCCATTAGAATGGGGAGATGATTGTTTGGAAGGGAGGAGGAAATGGAAATCACTAAATCAGGGTTTGTTTTTCTTTAAGGTGGGAAGAAAACAGAGCAAAGCAGCAGAGCATGTGAGGGTAATAAATTGACGCTTTTCCGGCTGAAGATATTGGTGGGATTGGTTGAACGTAGAGGCAACAGAGTACCATAAATTGAAAGAAGCTAGAAAATGACTGGGTTCCTTTCTTTCCAAGTTTCTTTCTCTTTTGAGAGGTGTTTGATGAATGAAACAGTGTGGGGAGTTGACTAGTGACTACCATAACCATTAGCCATTTCGATATGACCTATTTAATCTACTTCTACCGAGATTATCTGAAATTTGAAATAAAAATGTCATGGTGTGTCTTCATCTTTTTTATTCCGGATCTTAATCTTTGTTAGGACTGTTAAGGTAAATATGAAAATTAAGGTATCAGACAAAATTACACATTATTATTTCAAAAAAGAGCATTAGATATATGTAGTGGCCTACGTACACATGGAGTTGATAAATGTTGTAAGAAGTTGTTATATAATAGTAGTACACATGAGGTGATAAATGCCGTGAGAAGTTGTTATAACTTTATATAGAGGACATTACCAAGAAGTTAATGATTTGTGAAGGGAATAGCTAGACTTGGGTACGTGACAAATAAGGAGTGATGATGCTTAAACATAGAACTGTTGTTTCTTGTTAACATACATTGAACAAATGATTCTCGAATTTGAGTTCAACTTACAAATTACAATTTACGTTTTCATGTTTTAGAGGTTTGTTTAAGTTTGACTAGTTGTTGCTTCTTTAGGATAGTGACTAATTGCTGGAAATGTGATGGAAATCTGAATAGCTTTGAAGTTATAAGTCTCAAAGGGGAAAATTATCACATTGGTGGTTTTATACTTGTGAAGTGTGTGTAAAGATAGGTACCTCTCTATTAGGGGCAAAGTCCCTTGGGTGGGGGGGGTGATCCACTTTTGTGGGAGAGGGAGGACCTAACGGACCACCACACGCGCGTGCGCCGTCCGTACGAAATATTAAAAAAAAATGATAATGATGATTGAATTATAGAAAAACAAACCAAAATCGAAACAAGAGTCAAATGAAGAGGGGTTCACAAGCAACTGAACCCAACTTCCCAGAAAAGCAAAAAAGTACAGCGACCGAGTGAGGCCGCAAAAAACCTGCCCAGAAACGACCTGGGAGGCCAAGGGTGCCACAATCGATTCGCAAAAAAAAACCCAGCTAGGTGGACCGAGCCACCCCTGCTAGAAACACAATACATCACAGGCGGACACCTGGATACTGCTTCACAGGCAGCGCACGAAAAAAGACATAAACAAACAACACAAAAACACAGCAGCAACCCCCATCTCGCACCAACAAACCAACAGCCCACGAGCGACAACGCTGAGGAAGCAGCGGAAAATCAACAGCAGCAACCCTCATCTCGCACCAACAACCCAACTGGCCACGAACACCATCACTGAGGAAGCAGCGGAAAATCAACAGAACCTCAACTTATCCTCAAGCCACTGTAACCCACTGTCCCTCTCTGTCTTTCCAAAAGCATTAGGCCACTCCACTGTATCTCTAAGAACCTTGCGAGAAATAAACTTCGGATGCCGATGAACTCCCTTGAAAATTCTCCTATTTCTCTCGAGCCAAACCTGCCAGCAAACCGAGGGAAGAGCCCCAAAGAGGAACCAATTATCCATGCTATCCTCTGAATTCATAGGCCACCTCCTGATAGAGTCGATGATGTCGCCCTCGGGAATCTCAATGCTCTCACTAACCCTTTTCATTCTGCTCCAAATCTCCTTGACGAACCTACAATGGGAAAAGATATGTCTAACATTTTCTTCTTCCGAATTGCACAACTCGCACCTGTTGGCTAGAACCCACCCCCTTGCCTTCAGATTGTCCAGAGTCAAGATCCGATTATGCGCCACAAGCCACAGAAAACAGCAGATTTTCGTGGGGATGATATGCCTCCAAACGGAATCACAAGGAAAATCAGGGACGCCATTGAACTTTTCCCCAGTAAGGAACCTGTAAAAAGAACAAACCGAGAAGGAGCTATCCGGACAGGGCAACCAAACCGGCCGAGGAGGCCCATTGGTAACCCTACCAGACCCCCGAGAATAGAGCAAACTCATACACTCACCCCTTTCCCTCTCCGCACCCCCCCTAAGATTAAAATGTAAAGGAATGGACCAAGAAATACTCTCACCAGAGAAGGTTATGGCGTCTGAGACCCTGGCGTTCGGAAAGCTAGAAGCAGCAGCAACCCTTGGGAAGACATCGGCGAGCACCACACCGGGAATCCAGCTATCATGCCAAAAGGAGACCCAATCACCATTGCCGGGATCAATACTAGCTTTCTTCCAGAAGTCATCATATTCCTTCGAGATATTTGCCCACACCGACCCAGAGAAACCTTGTCTACACCTAGCAGTGCCCCACTCCGATAGCTGGTTCGGATACTTACTGTTAATTAAACCCCTCCACCAGCTGTCTCTTTCAGAACAGTATCTCCACAACCACTTCCCCAACATGGCTCTATTAAAAGACTCCAGGTCCATAATTCCAAGTCCTCCTTTCGAAAGAGGAGCTTTACAGATGTCCCAGCTAACCAGAGCCATTTTCTGGCTATCACTCGAACCGCTCCACAGGAACCTTCTTTGGATGCTCTCCAAATTTTTAATAACCATCTTCGGAGCTCGGAAAAGAGAGAAATAGTAGACCGTCTGATTAGAAAGAACAGCCTTGATCAATGTTAATCTTCCCCCAAAAGAAAGGTACCTGCTTTTCCAACCTTCGAGCCTCTTCCTGTACTTATCCACAATCGGGTCCCATAGAGAGATTGCATTGGGCTTCGCCCCAAGAGGGAAACCCAAGTATTTCGACGCCTCCGTACGAAATATTAAGAGGGTATATTTTTAGGGGTTCGGCTACTATAAACAAAACCGCCGAGCATACGAGAGGAGCTGTTTTATCCTGGAGACGATCGGTTGATAGTCTGTCGTGCGCATCGAGGGCAGTGCCGCGAACGTCTTAAAGAAAGCGACCTAGTCCGCAACTCAGCTCCAGATTCGGTAACCCCGTTCCTTGTTGTTGTTCCGTTCCTAACACTAATTGTCACTAGCTTTGAACCCGACCAGTTGATTAGAAGAAGACCATTATATCGTTAATATAACATTAGGTTTGTTTGACTCTTTATCAATGTATGATTCATAATGATCGTTATGAACCACAGTTTATAGTGACTTGATAAATTATGATTAGCTATATATAATTGTGATGACCTAATTCAACATATGAATGATTTTCTAGTTGGATTGAGAGCGTTCCACTTAAAATAGTTTTCATATTTGAGCAGTAAGATAACTTCAATGGGAGACCATGCACATGTGTTCTACAACTTCTACTCGTTTTGGGGTTTGACATTGAGTGGCACTTTTTTGGCTTCATTACTTCATCTATGCTCAGTCGTCTATGTCATGATGGGGTGAACGTGGGTGGCGATTCAACAAGCTTTGCCATTCCATTCTATGATGGCTTTTCCGACGGTTTCCATCCCTACGGCAACCTTCTATTCTCATTTCTCGTTTGCCTAGTTGAAAAGGTTCGTTTCTACGTCTCATTTGCTAGCAACTAGCAAGTCAAAGGGTTGGAGTTTCTGAGGGGGGAAAACAAAGCTACGAGGAAACCATGTTATCAACTCAAAAGCCCACATAGACAACCTCTTCCATTTTTCAGTCGGGCTTTCTATTGATCTCAATGGGGGCCTAAAGCATTCATACAACTAGGATGCCCACGGTTTATAATGGCCCTAACACTTGTTTGACTTTTGACCAATAAATTATTTATTTTGGAAACATGGAATTATAATCAACACATAATATTGAATTTTACCGTTTTTATTGATCAACGTAATTTAGTAAGCTATTAGGGTACATTTCTACTACTTCCTCAATTCTCCTGCACAATCAAATAGGTATCTAAGAGTTGTCTCCAATGTTATGTCATACATACGTTAATTGTTGGTATATGTTACTTATTGATTTAATTTGATATATAAGTTATGTCGTATCAATGAAGAAAATTGTCTCTCGGCTGGGTAATTTCATTTTACTCCAAAGTAAATTTTATATAGATACTTTGCGATTGATCCAGGGTAAATTTTGGATGAAAAAACGTTATCCAACAACTTCAATTATTAAACCAACTCATTTTTGTAATAAAAACATCATAGTAGTAGATGCTTAACAAATGTAATATAATTGTTGACTGAAAACATAACATCTCAAATTAATACATTATTTTTATTAAATATTTACTAATTAATTTGACAAACCAATTCTTCAAAATTATTCATGACAGAGACAGGCAACCCCATGAACGCGTACATACACATCTTCCCTTTCTCTTGACGAGGAAGGAAACAGGAAGTTCCACTGGACCGGTTGAGATAGGCTCGCCCCAACCAAAATTGGTTGAACCAAAAGCCAATCTTGACCACGTGCTCGAAATATATGTAAACCCTAATGGACGGATTGCCCTTCTTGTTTCATTATAATCCATCGTAGATCTTAAATGTTCATCATTCACTCGACGAATCGCCTCTTGAACTAATCCAACAACATAGGATAATGGTTGTTCCACAAGGTCACGTGCCTGGCACGTGGCGGCCGTGTACTTTATGGCATTGCCAAAGTACCCTTTTGGCAGCCGAGGCTCGAACTTGTCCCTGACGTTCACGACCACGAGCACCCTCATGAGCTGGTCGCCCGACATCCCGAGTGCCTTGGCTCGAGCCTTCCACAAGAAAGCCGTGATCGCCTCGTAGGACGAACATTTGTTGTTGGTGATCATCCTTCCATTTCGATCGCTATAAGGAGCCATTGATTCTTGCTTGATCTTACAGATCATGTCCTGGTCGAACCGAATATAGCGGTAGACTACTTTCTCGCCGGTGATCAGGTTAGATGATATGTTCGGTAACGTGTCATACTCGGAGTGGTGGTGTTCGACTCTGAGTGGAGTTCGAGCTCGGAGTAGGGTTCGATCGAGAAATGGTGGCAATGATAATGGAAGCCCGCGGGCAGTCTTCCCCCACGAGTTGATGAATTCGACTGCTGATATTCCGTCGGCCACAAAGTGACTGAAGGCCAGTCCTAGCGCAAATCCTCCACACTTGAATTTGGTCACCTATAAGGACAAAGTCAGCCTTTTCCACCGTGTTTAAGATGTTCTAACATACTTTGAAAATCGACAACGTAAGAAATAAATAACACACATAAGCTAGTTCATAGACAGAAGAGACCATTTTTATTATATTTGAAAAAATAGATTATGAAAAATTACAAGATATATATGGCACCTTCTCCACACATAATGAGATTCCGTGAGTTCGAGTTAACGACAAATAATATGTTTTTATGCAAGTAAAAACTTTATCAGCCTGTTTGGAAAGGCTAAATTTTGAGAAAATGGAATTCCAATTCCCAAACTTTCCATGATTCTCATGTTTGGAAGTAATAAGTAAAAAGGAAATGGAATTCCAAAAGGCAAAAAGTTGGAAATTCTAATTCCTACCAAAAGTGGTCGGAATTGGTGGAGGGAGTGATGGAATTAGTGGACTCCACATTAATTTTGACTCACCTTTACAAGAAAGCCCTTACTACTTTTGGATTTGAAATCACTAATACCAAGGATATTATTGTAAAAGCACTTGTAAGAAATCATTTCCATTTTTTCCAAACATAAAAATATGAAATCATTTCCCAAACTTTTGGATTTGTTCCAAACATAAAATTTTAAAATGAATTCTCACTTAAATTCAGATTCTCACAAGAAATGGAATTTATTTTCCAACAGAATTATATCCAAACAAGCTGTATGGGAAAGGGAGACCCTTGGGCGTTTCCTCGGCTGGAGGGACCAAAGTTGGTTCCCTTATTAGTTTCACGTTAAGTACTGATGTTGCTTGGAGCTCATGATCATGGTGGCCATTGCTGTTTCCACTTGACCTCACCATTTTTGAAGCTCCCAGGAAAATACAGACTTTTGGAGAGAATTTTAATGGGAATGTGTTAGGTGAGATGTTGTGGTATGAAGATTGATAGCAATTGAGGTTAGGTATATATAGGGATCAGGAGAGGAGAAGGCCACTTCCAGATCAAGTTTAATTTAGGTTTCATTGGCATTTTCGACCCATGTACCCTTATATATGTTATGATTTTTTTTTATTAACATTTACGTTATTAGACTATATATATGTCATTTTTCATTTTTTTGTTAAATGTGTTCAAAATTTCATCCAAGTATGGCAAGATTGAGATCGTTTCATACTTGTTGGATGACTCACATTTAACCCATCCATGTTGAAATTTTATATTTTGCTCCTCGAATTTTAATATATAGGTCGTTTGGAGTTTAATGGGCCGGATTTTGAGTAATTCATGGTCTGAATTAGGAGCAAAAGGAAAATTTTAGCACGCTTAGTATGTAAGCCATTAAGAACATGCATGCTTGATATATAGGCAAGCATTAATGCATTGGCAACCAATTTTCCAGCCAATTTAGAGTTGTAAGTTAAAACTGATAAACAATATAATATTACACAAACTGACTTTTTCAGAGTTATAGCATTTGTTAAATAGACATATAGAAATATAGGTACTAAAGCTTTCATTACCCTTTTCTCCTTGTATAAAATACATTTTGTTGAGCTCTAAATTAGACGGAAAAGGTGATCATCACTCTAGCTAGTACTTGATGTTGTCAAAAGGGCCAAGTGACAATTCCATTGCATATGACTAACTACTTCTCTAGACTTTTTCTTCTTTGCACTTGTCAACTTGATGGTTTCTATCACTTGGTCAAAAAATTTGCTCACTGAAATCTTACACTACATGATCTACTGTGATGTATAAAGATAACTATTTAGGCGTGGACCTTATTGTTTATATATAATATATTCACCATAAACTTGCCAAAAAAGGCACCTAATTACGTAAAAACTCTTACTTCAATTTTGAGAAGTTGACTCTAAGCCGTGGTGACGATTTCTTAAACCCGTGTTTTAGTTATGCGTGCTCAATGGATGACCTAGAGATCCATTTGAACTTTTCTTTTCTGTTGTTGATGATCCATCATGTAAGCCTAGGATTTGAGCATAGCTAGCTCTCGTCTCTCTATCATTAGTATTTTTTTAGATTCACTAAAAGCGTAGATGGAGTTAATTAAGCACTACTCTTAGGCTCAACTGTTCGCATTTAAAGGCATTGAGCCATTTCTCAATCAACCCTAGAGCTCAATATTATCTATGTTGTTCTTTTTACGTACCTTCTTCCCTTTTCACCGACAATTTATTTGATGATATTAGTTGCAAAACTTATAAGATAAATTCAATTAACTATATATTGATTATCATGACAAAATTGAGACTATCGTTATCATCAATGTGTTTAATATGTTACGTTTAATTTGTGATCTTTTCAATTAAAGGATAAAATCGATATGTAAGAACAAGTTAATTTCAATTTCAAATGATTTATAATAATAAAAATAATCGAGTCAAATAGTCGGAACAAAACTAGCATACAATAGTTAAACGGAACCTAACTTGTGGCGGGATTTAGGATATCCTGATATCCATGAACTTCCCTTTTCTTTCCTTGCTGTAACTGGTCGGCGGGTATGATTGAGTTGTCAAATCAAACGTTTTAATTATTGACGTCGACTCCTCATGGATGGGAATTTCGTTTCAATCCAAACGCCCTTTCATTGTTGTCCTTGTCCAGCTGGTAGTAGAAGCAATCAACGTTCCTTCACCAAGCAAATATAATATTAATTAATCAAGTTGATGGATGGTTGTCCCATCAAAGTCAACCACTGATTCATATTCGGTTTTGAAAACCCAACAAGTAGCTAGACGACCAATAATTCATATGTACTGGATAGAAAATGCTACAAACCAAACTAGCTTGTAGAATCCGAACAAGGACTTGGTCAAATGATAATATTACTAGTCTAGAATTTGTAGGTTTCAGTTTCAAATCCTCTTAAGTAATACTTTAATTACAAACCAAAAACCTATATCATGTCCTTATATATATATAAAAAAAAAAAAACTAGCTTGCAGAAGCAAACTGTGCAGGATTAGTAGCTAGGATTTGAACGTATGATTTGATAAAAGTACTCTGGCATCGATATGTATGTATATGATAGACTGATCTTCATTGATTTGGCTGAGCTTGTGGAAAATGCCTTGTGCTAGATTAGATAGCAGCAGCAAGTGATAGTGGTACAGATGGCCTAATTATCTCTTCTTATTTATTTTCAAACCATGCATGGGAATTGGGATTGGGTGGCAGTGAGATCAGGAATCTCTACCGACCAACTAGGTGCCCTATCTCTTCACCCAAATTCTCAGGAAGAGATGGGCTTAACTTTTCACAGTATAGTTCTAATAGTTAACCAACACTTTCTTGTGTTTTTGTTCTCTAATGTTTTTTTTTTTATACCTACTTTGCAAAAATGGTTGGGGCCAAGATTTTGCTGAACAATCAGCAACTTTCTAATTTGTCCAAGTTTTCGGCTACCAAATTAAAGCCTTGGGCCAACGGGTCACTTGAAAGTTGAAACCTGTTATCTCTAGACTCTAAAAACCTAATTCCCAATATGGATTATGCACGAGGGGTTTCTTTTGTCCAAGTTTGGTCATCAGTTTCTCTCCCACTCCTCCAACTCAGTAGGCGGCCACTGTTGTAGGTTAACGTTGCATCATTCAAGTGCATGCCTAGCTAGTAGTTTATTTGATAATTTGAGTAACAGTACTAGGCTAAGTTAAATGGAATCAAAGCAATTGTACAGTACTAAGCTAAGTTAAATGGAATGAAAGCTATTGTATCGCGGTAGTTTAATTCGTAAATCTCAGACTTTAAGATCCCGAACTTACTATCATGCTCATTCATGCATTATTGCGTGATTCTTTGCTCGATTTGTGAATGCAGACAAATCATGCATGCATATAACTATGAATAATGCATGGTGTGTTTGATTTGTGTATGTAGAGCCATTAATATTTTCTTTAGTCAGTATTTAATATATTATGTGAATTCATTTTACTAATTCGAAATTTTGTTCTGACCTTTTGATTTAAATAAGAATATCAACTTACCTAAACCACATCAAATAATTATCAACCGCATCTATTTTAAAAGTATTTGATTACCAATTCATAATAGAATACGAGTCTTAAATTATTCTCTTACATACCCACATAATAGAATATTTAGTCCATATTGATTGGTCATTTTTACCATGACTAACTACAGAGCTCCTCCTGCACCATTTCCTCGAACTTATCCATCGCCGAAATCGGCAAAGCAAGAAACACATTAAAGCTCACTTTCTCTGTCGGGTGGCTCAAAAACACCACCGTATCATCCGACGGGATCTCCACCGGCTCGCTCAGAACCGGCTCTCCCCACCCGAAATCCGTCGCGGAGAACGACAAGCTCGACCACGTCGTCGCCGTCACCGTGCTGCAACCCCTCGGCCGCCTCGCTCTCGTCGCCTCGCAGTAATCGATCGTCGACCTCAAAACCCCATCGTTCACGCTCCTGACCGCCTCCCGAATTTTGACCACGGCGTGGGAAAGCGGCTCTTGGACCAGCTCCGCCGCCAAGCTGTGGGCCGGGGTGAACTTTATCGCATTCCCAAAATACCCCTTTGGCAGAGGCGGCTCGAATCTCCCCCGCGTGTTGACGACAAGTAAGATTCTAGTAAGCTGATCCGGCGCCGTATTGAGCGCCTGAGTTCGAGCTCTCCACACGAAGGCCGAGAGGGCTTCGTAGGTGGAGCAGGGTTTTGTCAATAATCCGGTTGTTTTGGATTTCGCCGTTTGGATCATTTGCGGGGTGAACTTGAGGTACTTGTACACCATTATCTCTTCGTTGGAGAAGTCGTTGGTGGCAGAGGATTTGTCTTCGATGGGTTCGAATTCGGAATGGCGAAACTCGATTTTTGGCGGGGTTCGAGCTTTGAGAATCGTCCTGTCGAGAAATGGCGGGACGGATATGGGCAATCCTCTTGCTGTTTCAGCCCAAGAAACGATGAATTCCGCGGCGGCTTGGCCGTCGGCAAGTACGTGGTTGAAGGAGATCCCCAGCACGAATCCTCCACACTTGAATTTGGTTACCTAATAGTAGAAAGAGAGGACCAAAAGAAAATAACTTTTAGCGACCAAACATCGAATAATCATTTTTTGTCACCGATATTAAGCCTGACCACATTTTACTGTCGCAAAAAGGTTAGTCTTTTTTTACCAAAAAAAAAAGGTTAGTCTTTGCAAAGAGAAAAATCGTTACCTGAGCCATCAAAGGGATCTCGAATTTGTTCCCAACGCCAGGAACATCAAAGGCAGCCAGCTTGCCACGTGTAGTCTTATCCGGCTTGGAAAAATCAACGTCATCCAACCCACAGTCGGCCTCCGCCTCAATGAACACAACCCCTTCGCCGGTGCAATTCACAGCGAACCCACCCTCCGGCGAGAGGATCAGCCGGCCGGCCAGAGGGTAGTAGTGAACCAGAGCCTTGCTCAGGGCGTTCTTGATCACCTCTCCGGCCTCCTGGCCGCCGGACTTGAAGCAGTAGAGCGTACGGATGATGGTCAAGTCGTCGTCGACGTTGGAGAGGAAGTAAACGCTTCCCTGATTGGTGTCCACTGCCGGCGGGACCAAAGTTGGATTCCCTTTCTTCACTTGGAAGACCTTTTCTGTGTTCTGTTTTCCATTGTCAATTTTCCCCATCTTTGTGATGTTTTGGGAGTGGTTGATTCTTTAGGTGAGTTTTGATTGTGTGGTTCTGATAAAGGCCATTATTGGATATGTCATATATATATATAGCGGAAGGGTTTTAATATATATTTTTTTGTTAACAAAGAACCTCCTTTTTCCAAAATTAGAGCGCAGGGAGAATTAGCATATTTTTTAGTAAATTATTTTATATTTTTATTTATGAAAACTATATATTAAGAACAAGGATAGTAAAAGCGTATCGGAACTCCGGAAGTTCTACTGAAAAATTTAATAATAAGATATTTTGTACTCAAACCGTTGTTTAACCATTTCATATATCGATTTAGGATATAGTTCCCTGCTATCTCCAATCTAACCAGCCGATACAATACAATTTCTAAAACAATGATTAAAAGTGTGCCGGTTGGACCACTTGATCCAATCCAATTAAAATAACAAGGCGATAATGCCATTGATGGAATCAGTGTAGTCAACAATTATTTTAGTCAATCCACCGCCTCCCTTCCTATCAGCTTTCCTCCTCCAATTCCACCGTGAAAAGGAAGCTGAGGAGGAATTTCATTATTGTCGTATCCATCCATTGCAGTTGCAGGAGACGCGATTCTTTTGATGGTGGTTCTGGTGGCGGTGTTACTCTGCCTCCAACGCCAGGCATCAGAGGAAAAAGGGAAGGGGAAACACTCGATTCTAATATAAGGGCCTAAATTTTTTTTGGGTTTATTTTATTATTTTTTATATGTTTGTTTGTTTTCTTATTAGATAAACGAAATATGAAAATAATTTGATGTTTTTTTTAATTTGGTGCCAATATGGTTGTGAGTTGGACCGTTGATCGTCAGTTAATGGTGTTGATCATCAAAATTGATATTCAAAACCTGCATTCAGCCAATTGAGTCTGTATGGTGTATAGTTAATTAAGGTCAGTATAGCAACAGGTCAAAATAAGTTATTAACCCTAAATAAAAAAGCTTTAGACTAATCAATAGAAGAGTCTTAGTATTGATTGTAAACTCGGCCACATTTAAATTTAATCATCTCAAGTTGAAATTTAATTTTAATACTTAAGCTTTAGACTTCCAAATGGTTTTTGTTATTATTATTTGGATTCGATTCGAACTGATCATTAAAAGAAAAATAAATAAATTGCACATGATCAGGACATCTTGTTTTCCAATTATCTGCAAAGCTCCTCCTCCACTAATTCCTCAAATCTCTCCAGGCCGGTCCCGGCAAAGCAACAAAAATAATGATACTCCCTTCTCCGTCGAATGGTCCAGGAGGTGTCATTTTTCCGACTCTTTAAAAGATAGTCAAACTAACTCATTCATCTTTCTCACGCATATGCATGCACCTCTTGCTTATCATCAATCTGCTTATCATTGTTTATGGAATGAATTTGAGAGGAGAGTAGCCTAAATAGCTAGGGTAGTCATTGAATATCGATGGAGTGTTGCACAAAAAATATTGTTTGGTGGGGGTTGTTGTATGAAGTTAATGAGATGTCATTATCATCAATCTTACTAGCATTTATATGGAAAATTGTGTCTTTGGCAAGTATTCTTTGTGTTCACAACTTTATCTAGCTCAAATAATTATGATTTATGCTATCAATATCAAGGGGTTGAAAAACATATAATTTCATTATTAGTTGTTGCCTCATATCACCAAGAAATCTGTTATGTATTTAACTACTTATATAGTCATAAATAGGTGTATTAATTTTATGTATATCATATTCATAACATACTATAAATCTATAATTTATGTCAATAATTTTGTTGACCTTAATTATAATCTCACATACAAATTAAATAACTCAAATCATGAGAAGCAATCAGTCAACGGTAATCTATTTTACATGGCACTCATGAAACTAACAACAATACTTTAACTCCATCGAGACACACCAAGAGAAAGAAAAGGGCTTAGCGAAAGAAGAAACAAAGAGATAGAAGTTCATGACAATATGTAATTCCATGCGAGAAGATATATATCTCATAATTATCATCCAATTCTAGATGATTTCTTGCCACAACTTTTGAAAATTCCTCATTGCAGAAGCTGGCAGTCCAGCATACGCATTCAAGCTACCTTTCTCCTTTGGATGAGCCAGAAATATGATCACCTCATCCACAGGCAACTCCGCCGGTCCAGTCATAACTGGCTCTCCCCAGCCAAAATCGGTCGAACCAAAAGCCAACCGCGACCAAGCAGTCGAGATCATCGTACAACCCATTGGTCTTTTGGTCCTATGCACCTCATAGTAATCAATTCCTGACCTCAATTGACTATCCGTAACGCTTCTGATAGCCTCTTGGACTTTACCAACCGCATACGAAAGTGGCTTGTCGACCAAGTCACCTGCCAAGCTTATAGCACTAATGAACTTGATCGCATTGCCAAAGTAGCCTCTTGGCAATGGTGGGTCGAACTTGTTCCTTGTGTTCACCACAAGAAGGATTCTGGTCTCTTGATCGGCTGCCATCTTCAGGGCCTTGGCTCGAGCTCTCCATGCAAAAGCAGAGAGGGCCTCGTAAGAGCTGCAAAATTGTACGGGCCCTGGAGGACTAGGCCCATAGATTTCAGCTGCGACTTGTCGCTTCAACTTTTGGATCATTTGCTCGTTGATGTAGATGTAGTCGTAGATGGTTTCTTCTTTGTTATTTGTCGGCGACGACTTATCTTCTAAGACGTCGTACTCAGCGTGGTGGTACTCAATTCTTGGTGGGTTTCGAGCTTTGAGGATGGTTCTGTCGAGGAAAGGTTGGACAGAGAGTGGTAATCCACGAGCTGTTTCTGCCCATGAGTTAATGAATTCCATGGCTGCTTGTCCATCTGCAATGAGATGGTTGAACGAGACTCCCAGCACGAACCCTCCACATTTGAACTTGGTCACCTAAAGAAAATGGAATAGTAAAAGTTGTTATTATTTTTATAATGGTGACATGTCTTGTTTTTATAGTAAGGTATTATTTGAAAGTTCGGAATTGTGACCTCCTAGTTCAAAATTTGTGTTATGTTAGGTGAAGGAGCGGATGACAAATAACATCGATCGATATACAAATACAACACTCGTGGGAAACACTAGTGTGATCTCCCGGTTCAAGACTAGTGTTAGATTGGGGTAACATGCATGATATCATATTCTTAACTAACTGCTATACGTATGGGGTAACATGCATGATGTGTATTGATCATATGCCTACCTGGATCATGAGAGGAGGGATTTGAAATATGCTCTTCACACCAGGAATCTCGTACACCAACTTGCCACGTGTTTCCGCATCAGGCTTGGAGAAGTCAATGCTGCCCATTGGGCAATTCGCTTCCGCCTCCACGAACAACACGCCCTCGCCGGTGCAATCCACGGCGAGCCTCCCCTCGTCTGCCGTGGTGGTCACCAGCCGGCCGGCGAGAGGGTGGTAGTGGACAAGAACCTTGCTCAAAGCGTTCTTGATCACTCCCGAAGGATCGTCATCGTTAGTTTTCTTATGGTGATAACAGTAAATGGTGCGGACTAGGTTTTCATCCTCGTCGACGTTGGAGAGGAAGTAGATTCCTCTCTTGGTCTCCTCGGCTGGCGTTACCAAAACGGGCTCCCATTTCTTCACGATGAGATCGTAATTCTCAACGTAGTTTCCCATGGTTTTAATGTGGAGAATGAAAGAAGGGTGAGGAAAACAGAGCTTGTCTATAATAAAAGGCAATCGGCTAGCTAGAAGAAACGAGTTACATGCACGGTTTGTTTGTGTCAATTGAAGGAAGGAGCGGGTGGCCTTATATAGAGAGATAACGTAACCTAATGTGAACTATGACCAACTTATATAAAAAAAAACACACACACCTTATCTACAAAACCTAACTACTTTTGGTGCATGTTGAACGGATTCTAAGCCACAAATTCTTTGGTGGGATCATAGAATCACTTAATGTGTTCCAACCCTAATTATAGACCTAATAATAACGAACAGTATACTATACTTTAAAGATACATTGTGTTGGTGTGTTCCAACCCTAATTACAAGAAAACAATGTATCTTTAATTAACAAAGACATTAACAACATATGAAAACTAATTTGATGATTTAAAAATTTTCTCCTCGCCAAAATATTTGATCCAACTCAGTGAGCCGCCATCAACATATTATAATCCATGTCCGTTTTTCCCTTGCTCTAATTTGTCCACGGGTATGGTTAAGGTGTCAAAATCAAGCAGACCAATTTCGATGTCAACTCTTCATGGAACTTCATTTCAATCCCAGCCATCATTGGTCGTTTTCTCTATTCCAGCTGGCCCGTACAGAAGCAATCAACGTTCCTTCAAACAAATATATATCAATCAAGTTGATAATAGTCCCATCAAAATCAATGACTGAATTGTCATTTTCGCTAATTAGCATTCGATTTGAAAACCCATCATCAAGTTTTTTAGTCCAATATGCAATAGGATGAAAAATGCGGCAAACCTAACTGCAAACGTATATAGTACGAGTTATCATGATTAATTCGAATATACGATATCAAATAACCTAGTATAGTATCTATGTATAAATTGATAGATTGATAATCGACGTGCCTGCTGCTTTGGCTCAGCATGCATGTCGTGTTCGACATGTGGAAAACAAGTAACAGTGTTGGTTGGCCTTATCTCTGCTTATTTTGACTCGATTATGAGGAAAAGATGGGCTTAACTTTTCACAAGACAATGAGAGGAATCTCTACCGACCAGCTGCTAGGGGCCATACGATTGATCTCTTGTTATATTTTTCATTGAATTTCTCATGAAAACACATGGGCTTAACCTTTCACACTATCCGTGGCAATGAGAGGAATCTCCACCGACTAGGAGAGAGAGACTAGCTTAGCTCATTATTGTTACACTTGCAAGTTGTAGGTTGCACACACAAAATTCAAACCATAACAATGTTATTTTCTTACTCGACAATGGTCTGTAGCTCATAAAAAAAGATTGATCATGGATATATGTACGAAGCTCATATAAATTCATCATATGCATATAGTGTTTTAAATCAACCATGTTAATTCACGGAGTTATACGAGATGGAAACACAACACCACACCTTCATTAATTCCTATCAAAGTTTCTCATATAATATAAAGGATCAACACTTTTCAATATATGTTTTCTAATTGGGAGTGTGGTCAAGACTTCATATAACATTTTTCAATTTCTCACAACAATACTACAATAGTGTCCATATATATCGATTTTCTAACATAATATTGGAACGTGAAAAAATTATAAAAATTTATTATAAGTAGAATTTTTCTTAACAACTCAAATTATTAACATTCACATTATATATATACATTATTCGAGAATAATAATTTCTCCCTTAAATAATGAACAAGTTTCTAATTTGTCCAAGTTTTCGGCTCTCAATTAAAGCTTTTGGACCCAAGGTTGTTGGAAAACCAACCATTATCTCTATACTCTAAAACCTACTAACTCCCCTATGGATCGCGAGCGGTTTCATTTTTCCAAGTTTGGTCACCAGTTTCACTACAAATTATTATAAAATCAATACAACATTTAAGCTAAATCACTACTAACCCTTGATTAGGATGGTGCTAACTCTTGTACAATTAGCACCGTAACTCCTCCTGCTAAGGTACGTATAGTAAATTTAGGACAGTAAGATTATGTGAAGTTGCTAACTTGCATTGGCATTTGGCATGCATATTTAATAATTTGCACGTAGCTAGACACCAGTCCTTCCTTGGAATAATATCTATCATGTGAGCTCATTTTACTAGTTGAGAAATTTGCCACTTCGGCCTTTTTTTCTTATATGGGTAATATTTACTTTTTATGATTAGATACTATTTCGACCTTCTCTTCTTACATTTGATGAATTTTAAATCATATAAAAATAAATATGATGGGCTATTAGAATATTGAACAAAAATGCAACCAAAGAAATATCTAACAAAACGACACCATATTGAAAAGACGCCATTATAATTTCATGCCAAATAGCATTTATCTTACAAACCTTCATAATTATAATATCACATTCAAACAACTCGAATCCAAGAAGCAATCAATTGTAATATATTTTACATGACACTCCCAAAATTTAACTGAAGCGTTAATCTTTTGGGAGGAACAACAAAATACATGGATGGCTCCATACAAACATTTAAAAAAGACAGAAAAATTAAAAGAAAAAAGGTTTAGCAAAGAAGAAAGGAGGGTAGCATTTTTCACGACTACATATAATTTCATACGAGACGGTTTCATTATTCCTATCTTCAAATTTTAAACTATTTCTTCCCACAACTTTTGGAAAGTCCTCATGGCAGAAGTTGGCAACCCAGCATACGCATTCAAGCTGCCTTTCTCCTTTGGATGAGCCAGAAATATGATCACCTCATCCACAGGCAACTCGACCGGTCCAGTCATAATCGGCTCGCCCCAGCCGAAATCGGTCGAGCCAAAAGCCAGCCGCGACCAAGCTGTCGAGATCATCGTACAACCCATCGGTCTTTTGGTCTTGTGCACCTCATAGTAATCAATCCCGGACCTCAGCTGACTGTCCGTAACGCTCCTGATCGCCTCTTGAACTTTACCAACGGCATATGAAAGTGGCTTGTCGACCAAGTCACCAGCCAAGCTTACAGCACTGATGAACTTGACCGCATTGCCAAAATACCCTTTCGGCAATGGTGGGTTGAACTTGTCTCTCGTGTTCACCACAAGGAGGATTCTGGTCTCTTTATCTGCTGCCATCTTCAGGGCCTTGGCTCGAGCTCTCCATGCAAAAGCAGACAAGGCCACGTAGGAGCTGCAAAGTCTTACTGGACCTGGAGGACTAGGCCCGTGTATTTCAGCTGCGATTTGTCGTTTCAAATTTTTGATCATCTGCTCGTTGATGTAGATGTAGTCGTAGATGGTTTCTTCTTTGTTATTTCTCGGTGTTGACTTGTCTTCTAAGACGTCATACTCGGCATGGTGGTACTCGATTTTCAGTGGATTTCGAGCTTTGAGGATGGTTCTGTCGAGGTAAGGCTGGACAGAGAGCGGCAATCCTTGAGCTGTTTCGGCCCATGAGTTGATGAATTCCATGGCTGCCTGTCCATCTGCGGTGAGATGGTTGAACGAGACTCCCAGCACGAATCCACCACACTTGAACTTGGTCACCTAAAGGAAATTCATTTGTTGTTATAGCGTGATACAAATAGGTCAACCAATAACATCAATTTACAAATACAACAAACACCGGAAATGCTTATAATTTGATTCCATTCTATATTGTGCGGGTAACATGCATGATATATTGATGACATATACCTGGATCATGAGAGGAGGGATCTCAAAGATGCTCTTCACGCCAGGAATCTCATACACCAACTTGCCACGTGTTTCCGCGTCAGGCCTGGAGAAGTCAACGCTCCCCAACGTGCAATTCGCTTCCGCCTCCACGAACAACACGCCCTCGCCGGTGCAATCCACGGCGAGCCTCCCCTCGTCGTCGGTGGTCACCAGCCGGCCGGCGAGAGGGTAGTAGTGGACAAGAACCTTGCTCAAAGCATTCTTGATCACCTCCGAAGGGCCGTGATCGTCGTTAGTTTTCTTATGCTGATAACAGTAAATGGTACGGACGAGGGTTTCGTCCTCGTCGACGTTGGAGAGGAAGTAGATGCCTTTCTTCGTCTCCTTGACCGGTGTTACCAAAACGGGCTCCCATTTCTTCACGGTGAGATGATGATCATAATCGTAATCGTAATCCTCAACGTAGTTTCCCATGGTTTGATTTGGAGAAGGAAAGAAAAGAAGGGTGAGGAAAAGAGGCTTGTCTAGTAAAGGCTTATTGGCTAATAAACACGGTTTGTTTGTGTCATTAGAAGGAGGAGAGGGCGTCCTTATATAGAGAGATAAAGCAACCTAAACGTTTGAACGACTCAAAGTCTTAATATATTCATTTATGTTGGAAGATTGATGCCCTTTATATTAATGTGTTGTTAAAAGGTGGTGAATAAGATTACATAAATTATCTAAGAGTTCTAATAATTTGAGTTATACAAGGGAAAGGAACCAAAACATTATTTGTGATATTAGCCTCTTAATTATGTTGAACTCATAAAACACCAGACGCTTCTATCTATTGCCACTAGATTGATTCTATTGCTACGATTTGTTTTTTAAATAATAGTATTTCTTATACTTGGTTGGCTTCTACACCTATAAAATCCATTTTCCCCCGAACAACTCTCTAACAATTACATTATCTTAATCGTTGTGAATGAGTTAACACATTAGACTAGAGGGACTTCATTAACGAGTGGACCTTCGATTTCCAAGAATAGAGATTAAGGCATACAAGGAATATTAGACTTCATTAAAAGGAAACAAGGTACAAGTCGTAGACTATGGAAAGAATAATTGCTGCATAAAGGGGATCATAAACAACTATGTATTAGTTATTCTATATATAATTTTGATATGATCTGTCCTATTCATTTTGTTTATTTTACCTGCTTTGTAGTCGGGATAATGAGTACTCTATTTAACATGATACATCTCACTTTGGACACTAGTTTCTTTAATTATATATAAATGTACTCAAATTATTTAGAATTTTATTTGTATTACTTGATATTTTAGCTATACTAAAGTATAATTATGTGAGAATCTTAAATTATAGAATAATTTAACTTCATTTATCGTGTCATAGTTCATTTCTTGATTTTTTAATAAAAAGTTAATTTATCTAATCTTCTCTTTTAAAATACGTACCGAGATGAGTCGACCTGTCCCGACTTGTGCTCCAAGATAAAATATCCAACTTGTCATGGAATGAGTATGGATACTAAGATATTCGCTCCAACTGTTCGATTGTCAATCCCACTTGTTTATCTTCTTTGATAATTGCTACAAGTAACGTGTAGTTAGGTACTATATGCGTCTATTTAATTGGATGGTCAATGGCAATATTGTTGTACTTAATACGATAAGTATAATTAAGTACCTTAACCGCGGACCTAAGTTTTAGGTGGAAACCTAACCTTGAAGTTAAATGACTATATAACGATAATGACACAACTTGCCTTTAATTTGAGCACAACGACTAAACCTCCAATATCATTTTTGGTAAATGATTTTCGATGGTTATAGGTATTCATGCATGTTTCTTGGTCACAGCTCAGCCTCACCGACAAATGTACAAAGTTAGTAATTAAATTACCTTCACCATCAGATCAAAAGGAACTATAGAACAGGGTATCTATTTTTTACTTTTTCTTTATAAATGGTCAATGATATTTTTCCAATATATCAAATTCATGTTATACCAACTACTCCCTTTGAATCTTTAATTAGAATATATAAAGAGATACTGTTACAGGAATTTAATCAACTAGTTGAGAATTGAGATGGATAATTAGTTTTTTTTATATTATTTCACGGAACTTGGATATATATATATATAGACGGTATATTTTCATATCACGAGAAAACATGATAATTAATGCATGAGTTCAATACAATAAATATATAATAGAGAGTGAGTTTGTGTAAATTTTAACCTCATGAGTCATGAGTCATAATGATCTGCCTATCGTTCGAAGTGAGCATATAACAAAATAGTATAAGATTCATAATCACTTATACCTCTCACAACCACTTGAGTATTTGGACTTCCAAGACTAGTTGATTGAGTAGGTGTGTTGTCTTTCACTCCTTAACGAATTTCGATTTTCATAATCACTGTCAGGTTGTCTTAGCATTGAGTTCTACATAAATGGTTTTTTATCAACGATAACTCAGTTTTGGTTCGTCCATCTTGTATCACCAGTTTGATTTACTAAAATGTCCCTGCAACTTAGAGCTCTTGGTTCATCGACACAACAAAACAATATTATTGTCCTACATATTTAAAATATGATAATGGGTCAAAGGTGTTGCATCCTCCTAGTCATTGTTTTTGCATAACGGAACATATTTTGATCTCTGAATCTTCAAAAATAAAAACCCGCTACCAACCAAACTATTTGATTAATTATCCTTTTGCATCTATATACAAGTTAGAAGAATTATTTGGATGTCAATATGTTGTGAGCCTCACCGGAATTCATCTCGCTAGCCCCCGTCTCCCAAAAAATATAATGTAGGTCACCATCTTCGGAATTAATTATCCTTTTGCATAACCTATCGAGCTTTGGATATATAACCTTAAAACGGATAGTATACATGAGGCGATCGAGTTGATTAATTAATTAACATATATTCTAGAGGTGATTGGCTGAGTTAATTAAGCTCTTATTAGACTTTTGACTTGGCCTGTGATTTAAAAGATTAGAGTGCTGGAGTTTGTCTCCACTAATATTGATACACCAATTAGTATCTTCCATTCGATAATATATTAGTGATGCAAAGGTAAAAACTATATGGCTCTATAGATAGATTATTGTATAGTTGTTCTACAGATTGAACTTAAAAAAATGTCAACTTTCATTACTTCCCCTTCACGTCAATTTAGGGGCGAATTTTTCATGGGTTTAGGTAGTCAGCTGTTATGAGGAATATTTCAGTTGTTGACATTTTTTCATTGGTTGGGGAGATCAACCACTTGCAAATAATGCATCACACGGTTACCCATTTTTCATGTTTCGTTTAATTTATTATATACAATCATAATAATTCATCTGCTCCGAAGCTCAAAGTTGAGGACACCATGATGTACGTTACGTAACACTATGTTTGCAACACCAACCCCTATGAAGAAGAAGAAAGAGGAGGAGGAGAGGCTGATGAACAGCAAGTCAGCAACAGCTAGCACCCCTTTTGCCAAGGTTGAGCGGCCTGTCCCAGGGAGAAACAAGCAACCGTACGAGAGAAGTGAGTATTGTTGGGTTTATACGGACGAGGATGTACGTACGATAATTTATTGATTAACATACGATGCTACAAATGAGGAGAACGAAGAAATGTGAGCACCATAGTGCTAGGTGTACTTTCGGCTGATATCGAGGGTATCATAAGGATGTTCAAGGTGCCCAATGCACTCCACTCTCTCTATTACTTGGCTCATAGAACTCTTATTAAAGCTATGGTCTGCGGCTAACTAGTTGGGTTTCTAACTTTCTATTATTTGGCTGCAACTAGAGACCAGGAAGATTGAACATAAAAGGTTTTACAATCATTGTACATAATATGACCCCATATTGTTATATAAAAAACTCTGGTTTACATAAAATTTTGTCCCTAATTATTTATTCTGGTTTTACTAACCCCTAATTCAATATCAAATTATCCACCCTCAAACAAAAATTTGTTGACAAACTATAAAAATACATAGTGGGTCATTGTAAACATTAAAAAAAATTGTTTTATATATTCTATTTTCGCATCTAACTCTCCTGTATTGAGTGAAATTATGGCTATGCCCTATGTATATCATTATCATATGCTTGATCGACCTTTTTTTATAAGGGCAATATAAAAATAAAACATACTATTAAAGTAATAGAACAGAGCAAAAGCAAATGCAGAACAACAAGCTATGTAAGAAAAGTGAAGCTCATGGAAAGTCTAAAAACAAAACAGAAAATGTGAGGAATATGAAAAGGACAATTGATGAAATAGTTCTTCATTGCTTATTACCAAAACTTTATCCTAATTCATAGAAAAAAGTTTATCCTACCTAAGAAAACGAACCAAAAGTTCAGATAACAATAAGGTATTAATAAGGTGCAGTGGTTCATACCTTGATGATTCATGTATTAATATTTTTCTTGAACATAAAAACATAAATAGAATATCGATCTACTGATAATATAAGAATACTAAAATTCAATATTCATTATGAAAAATAATTCAATTAGATCTATGATCAAGTGGCTGCGTAAACTGCAAACCCAACATCATATGTTTTTTTCAACTTAATACAGCTTACAGGGAAGCTCCGAACTTCATTAGCATAAAGAAGAAACTTTTTTTTTTTCATTCAATCACTCTCATAAAGAAGAAAAGATAAGATTTATACAAAGTAAATTACATACTTCGAAAACAAGAAACATAGTCGAACCTCGAAAACAAACGAGGTGACAAAAAACCCAAGGCTTAGTGAGAAGAAAATTTGTTTAATGGGCTTAGAGTTCAGATAATAAAGCCCATGAACTTAGTTAAACGAAACAGACCAAATGGAACCCACAGTAGTCAACAGTCATAAAAAGAAAGTCATAGAAGACATGAAACCCAAGGCTTTCATGGAGTTCAACACAATATACAAACAAAAGATTCACAATCAGATTTATTGGTGGGCTAATATAATAAAGTCCATGGGCTTAGAATTCATAGTCTAGCCCGTTATATTTTTATCTACCAATATATATTTCGGTTTAAACAAAATTCAATTTTAAAGTGTAATTACTCAAAGCATTTATTATTTTAGCACAACCATGATATAAATTTTTTCGTTGACTTCAAAATCAAAACATAACCAACTATCGACAGATTTCAGGAGCTACCGACCCGTGACTGGGAGGTTAGGATACATTACATCTATCGCGAGGCGAACAAATGCACAGACTATCTTGCAGGACTGGGGCATTCCTTGTCGTTGGGTTTTCATTGTATTACGAACTCTACCCCTGCTCCGTACCATCTGCTTATGTATGACTGTCAGGTTCTTTTTTATACTCGTTTGGTTGTGAATGAAAGCTAGATGCGATGCATCCATTTATAAAAAAAAACCAACCAATTTTTGAGTCCTCGTATTTTTTCTTTTTCATTTAATCAATTTTTGTATTTAAATGAATTCAACTAAGAAAATCTAATTAGAATTATGAGATCAAAACCGAAATGCAGTTTGCATGAGCATTACAATTAAAAAGCTAAGAATGTTCTATCATAGTATTGATTAAACCGATCAGCAAATTTTATTACTTTATCAGTGCATCACGAATTCACGGTAGGCCCAACCTGAAATGTTAGGCTTTATTTTTCACATGACTTTAAATGATTAAATGTCAATTTACAAGGACTAAATCGATAAATTCTACTCGATCCAAAAATGAAAAAACAAACAAACAGAAATTCGAAGGAAAATGAAAAATCCCAAAATCACAGAGACACTCTCTTTGGCTCCGTAACCCCCTTCTAGCCTTCCCCTTCTCTCTCTCCCTTCCGGCTTTCTGCGATTTTCTTCGAACCCTAGAGAGCGCTCTCTGTTCCTTCCTCTGGGCTTCCTTTGCAAAATTCCTCGAGCTCCCTAAGGCGATCCTCCCCGGTTTCGATCTCGAATCGCCCGAACTTCCGCTTGCTTGGTACGGCAATCGATCACTTGCCATGGCCGACGGAAAACTCAATCTGCCCGATGATCTCATCGGCTCCTCCAACTTCTCCGAAGAGGACCACTCCCTGATCAAAGGTATGTGAAGGTCAATTCTTTTGATGTGGGGCGTTTCAGTTCTCATTTCCTGGTGTTACGAATTTGCCTACTCTTTCTTTTTTGTTTATGATGGCATCGGATGGATCTCTCGTCAGCGGAATCTATCTGTGGATTTTCAGCATTGTGCTGTTATTATAGATTTGTACATTGATTTTCAAGATCGGTCTTGTGATTTTTCTGTTGTTAGGTGAAGGAGGATGGGGAGGTGGAATTGGGAGGCACAAGATCAACACGAGCTTGGTTGACGAACCTAAAGGTGGTGTTTATCGTTGGGTTCTCTCTCTCTCTCTTCTGTGCTTGCTTCTAAAAATTTTAAAGTTTGACTTTTGCTGAGTTTCGAATTGTTGTTGGAGTTGCAGATCATATAATCTCAGACAGTACGATACCTCTTTCACCTCAATGGCTTTATTCTAAACCTCCTGATGGAAAAATTGCAACTGGTGGAGGTTCAGGGGTAGAACATCTAAACCATATTTAATACAGTTTTTACTACTGCTTGCTGATGATGTCATGTTGGAATTGCTGAACTTACCGCAGTAGTCTCATTTACACGCATCCGAATGTTTGTATTGAGATCCTCTGTGTGTGTGTTTATATATCTTGCCACTTAGTTCTAGCCTTAGTAATTTTTGGTCTGTCGTTGTCCTTTATTTACTTCTGTAGTTCTGTTATAAGTAATTTTGGCCTCTTGATTTGAACCTGAGACGGGTTGATCAAGATTTATTTGTTCTTCTCATTCTTCATGGTATGTTTTTATATTTTAGTGTTTGAATCAGCCCATTATAGTTTGTGGTTTAACTAATGATCTCTAGGAGTGTAGAACCTTGCCTCTTCAGCAAAGTGATATTCACTTTGATGATACTCCTCTTTTACCTTGGACATCACAGGAAACACGTGTGCCAAATTCACTTGCTCATGGGAATCCTTCTGATAACATTTCCAAAGATGGTCGGCGTCCAGATGGATCACAGGATAAGAAAGACTGGAGGAGAACTGTTGTGGATGCCGACAACACCCGTCGTTGGCGAGATGAGGAAAGAGATACTGGTCTACTTAGTAGAAGGGATCGCAGAAAAGAGGACCGACGTGCTGATGCAGTTCCGAACAAGGATGCCTCTGAGAATAGATCCTTGTCCTCGTCTGATCGTTGGGTTGATAGCAGTAGCCGTAGCTCTGGGCATGAATCCAGGAGGGATGGCAAGTGGTCATCAAGGTGGGGTCCAGAAGATAAGGAGAAGGAATCTCGATTAGAGAAGAAGACAGACATTGAAAAAGAGGATACTACCACTGACAAACAATCCATGAGCACTATTAGTCGCACAACTTCTGATAGAGAAAATGATTCTCGTGATAAGTGGAGGCCTCGACATCGTCTCGAAGCACATACAGCTGGGGCAGCCACTTCGAGAGGTGCGCCTGGGTTTGGGTCCGATAAAGGCCGCCTGGAAGTATTGAATGGACGGTTTGCAGCAGGAAGGGGTAAACCTGTTAATCGTGAAAACTTGAAGCATAATTCTAGTTATGCAATCGGGTCTCTCCCTCTAGATAAGAATAATGCTTACTGCTACCCTAGGGGGAAACTTCTCGACATTTATCGTCAGCATAAGCCTCTTCCAAGCTGTGGTGACTTACCTGATGGGATGGAGCATGCATTACCTTTAACAGAGGAAGTTGGTAACAAGCCATTGGCATTTCTTGTACCAGATGGAGAGGAAGAGGTATAGCATCCAATTGCTGTATAGCTTTTTTTTTGCTTCCTTTCCTCTAATTAACCATTGTGTTAAATCAAGCCTACAATATGCTTTCAGGCCGTTCTTGGAGACATATGGGTTGGGAAAATCACAAGCAGTGGAGAGTTTCACAATTCTAAAGACAATGATTGTCTATCAAATGATAATTCTGCCGGTAATTTAGTTGAATTTATCTCCAGTATTTTGGTGGTACATTAAAGTCATATTGGTTAAGGTATCTGCTGTTTGTTTAGGTTCTGAGATCGCAAGGGAGGGTTATCAAGGCACCTTTGGAAAGGCTGCTCCAGATAGTTTGTATCAGGATAGTTGTAATGAGGTGTCACATCCATCACTGGTTGCTGGTAATGGATCTTTTGCTCTTAATCTTGTATATCGCCAGTCTTAGAGTTGTAGACATTATTAACATATATATTATATATTCAGAGAGGGGCATTTCTCTAGAAGGTGAACAAAAACTTGGAAGATCCGTAATTGGGATTTCAGATTATGGGTTGGACCCTGTATTGATTAAGGAGAAATCCAATAGTGCAGGGGAAAGTGGCACCAAGACAAGTATTCTGGAGTTGGGATCCTCTGACTACCTGCACGAACAAGTTTCAGCTTTCAGAAAGCATTCTAAGTTTGAAGACTCAGTAACTACTTTTGAAATTGGCAGCCATCTTCCTGATGATTCCAATACTCTCTTCGATTTTCCTCCCACGCAGAAGAGTGGGGGCAGTAATCAGTCATTTACAAACAGAAACTACAAGGCAACTCCAGTGGGAGATGATATTCCTCCGGAAGAGTTATCTTTGTTTTATCTGGACCCTCAAGGGGCAATACAAGGACCATATCTGGGAATTGATATCATTACATGGTTTGAACAAGGCTACTTTGGGACCGATCTACCTGTTCGTTTGTCAGATGCTCCTGATGGGTCACCATTCCATCAACTTGGTGAAGTAATGCCGCATCTAACAGGAAAACTTGGGTCTGCCTCAAGTGCTAGTCTGAATGATATGTCACGGCAGTCTGATGCTATTGCAGGCAACTTGGAGGGTCATCATCCCGAATTCAATGATTTGGGTCATAGAAAAGAGCAACAATGGTCTTCTTCTGGACTCAATGCAATACCAAGTATCAATTCCCAATCTAAAGTATCTGATGCCAACTTTAATCCAGGGATCCAGCACTCTCTAGAGGAACAATTTCACAACCTTGATGTTCAGGGTGAAGGTAAATTTTTATCGAGGTTGTATTTTGAGTCACCTCCCCTGTTTAGCATGTTTAACTTAGTTTCTTCTCTCATATACAGAAATTCTCTACCCTGTGAGGCCTGGTAGTAGCAGCAGTGGCAGTTACACTAGACATGCTAGTGATGTCCAAAGTTTGAATGTGGATCCTTCTAAAAACAGTGTGCCTAACCATCACGATGAGAAAGTGCGTCATCCATTTGGCTTGTTGATGTCTGAGCTCAGTGGTAACTCTGAGATAAGAGGTTCTCAATCATCCCACATCGCCTCAAGCTTAGGTGGTGACGATCGATATCTCGATCCTATGATGGAGAGAAACAACAATGATTTCATGAATCCAGGTCCTTTTGGTGCTGCTAATCGACTTCCTTTTGAGAAACAATGGGGAAAAAGTTCTGGTCTTGGTAGGGAACATGGGCTCAAAGAATTCGACATTGAACGCCAAAATCAATTTTCACCGCATCCTTTCTCCCATAACACGGGATTTGGGATCGATCAAATTCCAGGGCATCTGATTGAAATGCAGCGCCAAATGGAGCTCGAACAGCAGCGGCGGATGGAGCTTGAGCAACACCGATTATTGGAGCTTGAACAACAACGCCTGTTGGAACTTGAACAGCAGCGGCAGTTGGAATTTGAACAGCAACGGAGGCTCGAGCTTGAACAGCAACGGAGGCTCGAGCTTGAACAGCAACGGAGGCTCGAACTTGAACATCAGCGAAGGCTCGAGCTCGAACGGCAGAGAAGGCTTGAGCTTGAACAGCAGCGACAGCTGGAGATTCAGCAGCAGCAGCGGTGGATAGAGCTTCAAAGACAGCAGCAGCAGCGACTTCTGGAGCTTCAGCAGGAGCAACAGCTGCTGGAGCTTCAAGAGCAACAGCGCCAGGTTGAGTTACAACAGCAGCGCCAAGTGGAGCAGCTGGAGCTTCAACAAGGGCATTGGTTACTCCAGCAGCAACAGCAGCTAAGGAACCATCAGATGAAGTTGCAGCAGCAAAGGCAGCAACAGCAGCAACAGAGGCAGCAACAAATGGTGCTTGAAAGATTGCTACAGCATCAGATGTCAAATGCTGGTTATGGACACATGACTGCAGATCAACTGAGAGACAACAATATGTTCGATGAGGTTCAGTTCAGGATGCAATTGCCAGAAGCTCAGCATGCTCACCTTTCAAGACAAACTAATAATCCGTTGCTGGAGCAAATTATTCAGGCCAAGCTTGGTCATAATGCTCTTCATGAACCACCAAATGATTTCTTGGACCTTCTGACAAAACATGGTGGTAATATTCCCTCTTCAGATGAGCAGCTTCATTTTCAGAAGGAGCAATTGCAGGCACAGCAATTGTCTTTGGCACTTAGGCAGCAATTAGGTATGGATGGGGAAAGGCAAGGCAATAGTAGCACATGGTCAGGTGATGATGCTGGTCAACATCAGTCAGATTTATTTCAGCAGCGATTTTCCTCAAACGAGGAGCATCAAAGGAACCTTAAATGGCATCATGGTTTTCAGGAACATCATCTTCAAAGTGGGTTTTATGAGCCTACTTCTGGGGTCATTGAGAGGCCAGTGCCTCCTGAGATGAAGTTAAATGGTCATATCCAAGGTACAAATATGCATATATATTCCAGAACAATGTTTCTAATAAGCATGCAGTATTCTGACCAAAAAGTTGGTTTTAGTTTCTTCTTGTTTCTGATCTAACTTGCTGGCTAACTTTCACATGACTTCAATATGCTTCGCGAGCAGGAATGATGGATAGCTACCAAGGGCAAAATACGCCGCTAGAAAATGGTTGGACTGAAGGAGACCTGCAACAACATATGCGTGTTAAAGAGGAACAACAACGTCTGAAAGATGAAGAAACTTTTTCAAACCCCACCTTTTGGGGAGGCAATGATGAGAACTCAAAGCAAGCATTGATGGAGCTCCACGAAACATCAGCCGGTCTTAGGTCTATTCAGGCGCCAGAGAATGATAATACAAAAGATTCAACTCCTAGTGATAACCATTGGCAGAACACCAAGTCATCTACTTCAAGTTTAGGTGCACCTACCCTGGAGGATATAGTAAATGCATCAATGAGTGGCCAATCCAACCAGTTGGGAAATGAAAGATTCTCTCTGGGGCCTAAAGCTGGATTACAAGTAGAGGAACATAGATTCTTGTCGAGCAGTGGAGATCCTTCACATGGTATCGATGCTAGGTTGAGCAGCAACTCATCTGGTGACCATAAAGAGTTAAGAGAGCGGGTAGGGAAGGAGAAGATACTCGGGTCTAGAAGCTCTAATGCACAAATTTCAGTTGATCACGGTGAGCCTGCCAGAGATTTGGCCGAGCTGCCAAGTAATGTCAATAGTAGACACAGTAGTAGACATAGCTCGCTGAGTAGCACGGGTAAACCTCCTTATTTTATTTTCTGTTTTGTTCTTCTGTTTTAACTCTATGGTCAGATGGACTCTAAGAGGAGGAGTTACATACTATGCAGGTGGCAATGGAAGCTTGAGCGGCTGTGAAACAGGATTAGATAGAACAGTTAGAGAAGAGATTACTAACCCCAGGTATGAGGTTTCACTCAAATTTCAAGGTTAACTTAATTCAATGTGTACGTGATCTATGAGAAGTTACGAACAGTAGCAAATGATAGAAGTAAAAATGTCTCAGAAAATTATCGAAATACGTGAATGATTGTGAAACGATTCAGTGAGTCTACAACTTGTTCTTCTTAGAGTTGAAGTTACTGTAATGTGAGCTGCGTTGAATGAGTCCACAAGCTTATGGAGTTCAATAGAAGAGAAAGGGTGCAATTGAAAATGTTCAAAAGGTGAAGTAAAATTGGATGCCCATCAACTTAAACTTATATTTTTAGAGGTAGAAGTTGGAAGTCGGAAGATTGTATCTGATGGAAAAGTCGGTTATTAGATCAACTTGATATTCTGCAGACTTGGGTGTTCTTCTAATTTTCGTTATCTCGCTTGCATATATAACCTTCTATGTTCGATGTTCTTGATGTCTCTTGTTTTCATCAACAGGGCGCCGACACTTCTCCCCAAGGTATCCGACAATCCTTCCCCTAAACCAGTAGCTTCATCAGACTTGGCTTCTCCTGGTCCAAGCATGAAGCAGAAAAGCTCGATCAACTTACCAACAACACCCCTTGGTATGTAAATTTTGTCCCTTGATCTGTGTGTTGATTTTCTACTTTTGGATAGTTGACCCAATGTTTGACCTTGTGGGAATTGGCTTTCTTCCCAGAAAGGAGACATAACAACCCTGCAGCGGGGAGGGTTCTTGTGGCAACAACAGCGAAACCAGTGGAAGTTAGGAGGACCTCCTCTTACGCTGATGCTGCAGTGTCATCAGAGGCATCATTCATTGACATGCTGAAGAAACCAGTTGCGCATGAACTGGACGCGGCTCAATTAAGTGGGTTAGAGTCGTATGACAATTCGCAAGGTGGACGGATTGGGAAGAAGAAAGGGAAGAAGGGAAGGCAGATTGATCCTGCTCTCCTCGGGTTTAAAGTCACCAGCAATCGCATCATGATGGGTGAAATCCAGCACCTGGACGATTGATGGCTAATTAGAGCCTGTAAAAATTCTCTGCACATATATCTATGTAGATATAGGTAACATTGTATGAATGTTGTACAGAGAAAAGGGAACATGGTGCTTTTTAGAGCCATCCATCATCTTTGTACTTGGGTCCATTGAGCTGGCGCCTGCCCTCGTTACTCTTGTTTTAGCCTCATAGGAAAATCCTCTTGTAGACTGAAAGTAGAGAAGTAAATTCCTTCCTTTACTGAAGGTGAATGGAATATTTTCTGACTTGGTTGACTCCAGATAGTAGCCAGTGGACTTGTAATTACCAGGGATTCAATGTACATTTAGAGGAACTTACCATTTGTCAATGATCATACAATTGACGAACTGTAACTCCTTTTGTGTGATCCATTTTGCATAGAATCTATAGTTCGACTTTTACTGGCCTTTATGGCCGTTTCTGTACAGTATATAAGTACACTGTACACACCCAGCATCATTATGTCTTGAAGCTTTTCATTCTTTGTGAAGCATGGGCAAAATACTCACAAGTTTAGCAGCATATTGAGCCACTAGTCTCTGCCATTGACTGGCTTTCCTTTTACTTGAGACCCCTTTCAATTCCAGCGCTTGCCCTTCATTCATCCATGACTACTCTCAACCTTTCACATTCCAACTCTGACAATGGTGGCGGCGTTTGAGTTACATCGAGCAAATGTTGCCTCTATCCCTGACATTGGTCTGCTGGCATTGCCCAGGCAAATTGCTGAAGCAAGTCTGGCTCTGTGGAAGACAAGGGAGAGGCTGAAATCTGAGAGGTAACTGTACGGGACATTGAGGGTGACGTTTCCCGAATCCATTTCACATGTTCACCAGCAATTCTAGACTCTTTAGCCTCAGCTAAACATTTCAGCAAGAGTACATGAGAGTCGGGATGTGCTACATCGTATGTGAGGCCACAGAGCAGCTTAGAGCTTACAAGGAATTCACCTGCATGGGAAAAGAGAATAATCCTTTCGTAACATATATAAGAAAACCATACCTTCTCCACAGAACTCAGATAGCTACCGTTGTTAAATGCTTAAGAATGAGAGCATCACCATAGAGACTATTCGCAAGAAACCATACCTTTTGCACAGAGCTTGAGAATGAAATTCCTCAGCACATTTCGTGTAAGCACCACATCCTGATTCTCCACACACTTGTTAAACACTACAACAGCATCATCGAATTCGGCTTCTCGACAGAGCCCATCAAGCACAAAATCGTAGGTTGCAGCATCTGGCGCCACTCCTCTATCCAACATGCGATCGAATAGACTCACAGCCTCTTTAACTTCACCAGTATCTGATAACTTCCCAATCAAGATATTGTAACTTCTCAGATTCACTCCACATCCAGTCACAAACATCTCATCCCAAAGCTTCTTAGCAGGACGCACGAGATCAAGCCTGCAACATGTCTCCATCAGGAGATTATACATTGAGATATCAGGCTCCAACCCTTTCTTCTTCATCTCCTGGAGAGATCCATATGCTTCTCTCGCTCTCCCAGCCTTGCATAGGAATGAAAACATAACTTTGTAACTCTCCATATCAGAAAAATAATCATTTTCAGATAGTTGATTGTATACATTCAATAACTCCTCAATCTTTCCATGCCTGCAGAGATTCCTGCTCAAGTTACTCAATGTTAACAGAGTAGGGAGCACACCTTTTCCCACCATGAAATCGAAGAACATAATCGAAGAACAAGGATCGATTGATGACACCGATCCAATCAGTGCGTTCAAGACATCATCTTTAATAGAGAAATTGCCATGCACAATCACTTCACCTAGTTCTTTGGCTTCCATTATCCGTCTCTCAGCTATTAACCCAAAAATGAACTCTCGATAGTCATCACTCCTCGGTGCTACTCCTAGCTTCCTCTTCATCTTCAGAACTATGTTCACGTCGACCACACTGCCTGTTGTTCTAAATGCCTCAGCGACTATTCTATATGCCATGAAATCAGGTTTGCAGTGCCTAATTCTCAACTCAGTCAATGCCCAAAAAGCTTCTTCAGCTCTGGAAACCTGGCAGAGCCCATGAACAACGAGGAGAGCTATAATTGATCCATCAATTGAAGATTGACCATCACTTTTCACCCTATCCAACAAGCTCAACACTTTCCCCAACTCATAATCTCTGCAAAGCCGCCATATAAACACTCCGAACCCAACACTACTAAACCCAACTTTCCTCTCAGCCATTTTCTCAAACACTTTCAGTGCATTCTCCAAAGAACCTTCGGAACACAAAGCAGCCAAGAGCGAGTTACATACATCTGGCTCGATAGACGAACCCCCCGATTTCATCATCTCGTCAAAAACCAAAACCGCCTTCCGGATCATCTTGCCCTGCAATAAAGTCTTGATGACGAAGCCACAAGTCAGCGAATCGAGCGCCAAGCTCTGAGCTTTAACCTGCCTCAACAAGGATTCGACGACGGAGGCAATGGACTGGCGAGAAGTGGACAGGGACTTGAATATCGATCGGTAGGAAGCCGAATCGTGAGCAAACCCGGGCTGCTGAGCTGCCCAATTGAAGAACCCCAGTGCCAGCGAGTGGTGACTCAGCAGATGCGGGTCGATTACGCGAGCCACTAGTGATGGAGTAAGTGAGTCGCGGCAGCCGAGCCCGTGAAGCGTTTGCTCCAGTAATGGAGTCCATGGCCGAGCATGTGAGTTCGCCGACTTCGTCGAGGCCGAGATCAGAGATCGGCTGATCCAGCTAGCTAACTCGGTCACCGGTCTCATTTTACAACCGGGAAGAAAGATACTGTCGCCTGGTGAGTGGTGAGTGGTGGAAACTGGGAAGTACCCGCCAAATAGGTTTCCGAATCCCCAACAAATTGAAACGAATTCGGGCCTCCGGCGCCGTTTTGGAGGCTCAACAACGCAAAGACATAAACATAATGGCATGAGCGAAAATTGTAGGGTATAGCAACTACAATCACAAGGCCAAACAGAAGACTTCACTGAGTAATATTCACATTCATAATCTCCACTCTTTCTTTGTAGTTTCATTTGAAGGAAGCATAAATCTTTACAAACTAAACCATATCTGTACAAATCCATTGTGGCTAACCTTTTATGCTGCGAGATCATCATATTCACAAGTGATCCATCTCCATTTTTACTGCTCAACTACATCCCCCAACTGTAACTATCTAACTATATACAAAAATCTACAATCTTCTGTACAAATTCCCATTTCACCAGCCAAACTATTTGCAGAGAGGAAACACTATTTCTATACAGTGAGCGCAACCATCATTGCTCAGGAGTATGAGATGATGCCCTTGAAGTTCTGGAAAGTCCGCGCCTTGAACAGGTTTCCGAAAAAATACCCCATTGTAGTTTCCTGCGGAGGATCTCTACTACCGCTTGATGGTGGGAGAAAAGAGCTGTGCTTCACATGAAGCTTTGTCTGTCCAATCTGCCTGCAAATTGAGTCAACAATCCTTGGCTCAACAGGATTCCCAGTTACATCAGTGACGTAGAATCTGTCTTTGGCTTTCCCTCCTTTAGTCGAGATCTCTGCCCTCTTGATGCACAAGCTGTTCTCCCTGAATATCCTCGTGATGTCTGATAGGAGACCAGCTCGGTCCTCTGTGCATAGCTCGAGCTCTAGCCCCTCGTGTGCTCGCCTCTCGATGGCTGCTTCAAGGCATTGTATGACTCGCTCGCGCTCAGCTTCTGAACTTATGGGGAACCCATCGATGTGGCGGATGTAGAACTCCTGCAAAAGTTAAGGTACTCAAATTATAGATTCTACATAGAAGCCGAAAAGCAAGTTTAGAATCACGGAATTTTGACAACACTATGTTTACCTGATAAGCTTCCTTACCACGACTGCTGACCATTCCATGATATACCACATATTCCATGTCAGTAAGAGTGCAGACAATGTCGAACAGAAGCTTAGGCCGATCCTTTGATATCATCGTGATCACCGAGTAATCCTTCTCAATATTCAGAACAGTAACATGAGGCCTCGAGTTGCTATCATCCTCTAGATGACTTGCCCTATCAACCCTCTCGTAGTCCCTATCGGCAAACATAATCTGATGCAATCTCCTCTCTTTGCTCAATCGACCTGGTGGAGAAACACTCGTCTTTGCATTATTCAAATCGTTGAACCCTTTCAGCACATTGCATAATAAATCTTTAATAGTGGAGAGTCGTTTGGGATCTTTGATTGCAGCCCCAGTTGAGTCATCAGTGACATGAACTACTGCAGCTGCCCTAGCGTTATGAGTCCATATCTCTGCATTCACAACGTTGCAGCCCAAATCTGCTAGAACTGCACATACTTCAGAGAGCAAGCCTGGTCGGTCTGTTCCAGTGAGCTCAATCGAGGTGTGCTCATCCGATGGCATCACTCCAACTGAACCGGTCAACGAGGGATAAAAGATTGCGTCGTTTTCAAGTCTCTGCAAGTCATAAGACATGAACAAGTTAGCCTCTCAAGTCAAACAACCCTAAGTTTTTATTGTGCAGAGTAAGGTCTGTTTACTTGTTGGATGTAGTCGATAGCTTCCTCATCGATTATCTTGTTCCCATCTTGATCAGTGACATTGAACACTGCCAAAGAGAGAATCCAAGCTTAGGATTCCAAGGAAACCATCTAAGCTTCAGATAGGAAATGAAAGAGATATTGAAGTGTTTACCATCCATAAACCATCCTCCATCAGATGAGATGTATGCTTTGGTTATCACAAGGTTCATGTCTGTGAGAACTTGCACAACTTCCAGAAGTATCCCATGCTTGTTTACACTGTCAACCTGGTAAAAACAGAAATTATCATTCACTCTAATTTGCACTCTTTAATTGGAGAAAATAGGAATAAAAACAGAGAACTATCGGCTTTCTACCTGGATGATAGTTGCATCTTCACTAGTATCATTGTCAATCACAACTCTGCAAAACCAGAAACCAAATAACAGTTTAAGACCAGCAAGTAAACTTGACTCATCACAGAAGCAATGGCAAACACTCCAACAAGACAAAGTCCGAGTACGAGTACGATTTTTCCGCACCATATTTGACTCTTTAGGCTGAGGAAAACAGTGACGACCTTGAAACAAAGTTGAAAATAAACCAGTCTCACAAAAGTTGTAACCTTGATGACCAATCAGATAACTAAAACTCTGACTCTAACACCATAATTCAAACACAAAACAGAGAACCCAATAGGATTTTTGGAATCAAAACTGAAGAACATCAAAGGGTCCAATTCCTTCCTTCTGAAATTCCATCTCTTCTCACTTATTAACCCTAAGATCAAACCATACACTCCAAAACCCAAAAACAAACAACAAAAACCCACAAATCTGAAGCCACAACCAATCAATTAAAAAGGAAAAGCTACTACCTTGGAGGGTTCATCCTCCTGATAAGCTTAGCGTACTCATCATCCATTGTTTCTCCTCTGAATTCCTCCAACAAACAAACCCAGAAA